TGTCTCCTAGAAACTGGTCACTGTGATGCTTATCTGGTCACTATGATGAACACTGACTAAACCAATCCCCAATTGACAAGCCATTCTACCCCTATACTTCCTGCTAATCCTAGACCACCAAAGATCAGGACCTGGTATTCTCAGAATAATCCCAATCAATCAATGTAAATAAAACCGTCTCCAAATCCTGGGTGTCATCTTGGTGTTTCTGCCTTTGCAACCTTACCAAGGCTGACTCACTTGTCTATCCTTTTTCCCCTTGAAATGATTAGCTATTGTTTTGTTTCACTAATCTTCTTTAAATTTTGAATTCTTATTGGGATCCAGCAGATTTTTGGAAATAAGGGGGGAAAGGGTTAAAGGGAGAGGAGAGAGGAATGGGAAAGAAAAAGGAAGCAAGATGTATCATGTACAGGAATAAATTCTTTATGACAAATGTTATATATATCTAAAATATATTAATAAAATTAATTTTTTAAAAAGAGGCAGCTATGTAGTGGAAGAACTGGAAATGGGAGTAGGGTGACCAGCCATACTGACTCAAGTTAAGAGTAGACAATGAAACAGGACTGTGGGCAAAGAATGTTTTCCCTCAGGTAGCACGGAATGCAGCCCATCCCTACTAAAGGGAGGTGCAGCCACTCCCTACTAAGTCCCTGAATTAATTTCTTTCTTTCTTTTTTTAAATTTTTATTTCTTTTATTTTTATTTTGTGTGTGTGTGTGTGTGTGTGTGTGTGTGTGTGTCCAGCTCAGCCCACCAGGGGGTGGGGCTGGCTGGCATGTGGTGCTGGGGGATTGAACTGCAGTCCCTCTGCTTTGCTAAGCTTATTCTAAGTAGGTGCTTTAGACCACTGAGCCATCTCACTAGCCTACTTTCGTTCTTTCTCTTTCTTTCTTTCTTTCTTTCTTTCTTTCTTTCTTTCTTTCTTTCTCTCTCTCTCTCTCTCTCTCTCTTTCTCTCTTTCTTTCTTTCTTTTCCTCCCTCCCTCCCTTCCTTCCTTCCTTTTTATGCTCAGTAGGATCTCACATTTATTGAGAAGTGGTTAATGGTAAAAAGGCAATGCCCTTTCTTCATCAGCTGAACAAGAAATTGAAGAAACATCCACTACACATTTCACAATATTTCTCTTCCAAAATGCATTTCTGAAAACGAGTTTTTACCACTGTTCTTAGCTTTGAAATCAGATTAATATTGACTTAATCAGTATAATGTATGAGAACAGAACATTTCTTAGGACTTCTAGTACTTTACTTTGAGTAACAAAGGGGAAGAGAAAATGAACCACCCTTAGAGACACAACCTTGGGTAACACTGTTACATTTTCCTAGACAAAAATTCTTTATGGAAATGATCTTCCAGCTCACAAGGGAAAAAAATCAAATTTCCACTTCCTGTGAAATTATAATGCAAAGTACCCAGTTTCTTCTGAGATCCCAGCTTACTGTAAACACTGTGAAAGAATTAAGCTAAAAGGCCTGAGTCCCAATTGGTCATTTTAAATCTACAGAGCCATTTGTGATAGGTGACCACTAAACAACTAAGGAATTTCTGTATGCTGAGAGGTCATATAAAGGATAGACAGGAAGGAAGAGAGAAGGCAAATGGAACAAGGAAGAAGGGACAGGAAACAGGAAAGGGAAGGGAGAAGGAAAAAACTAAGAAAACAAAGGGTGGATGATAGGAAGTAAGAGCTTAGACCTTTTACAAATGAGAAGTGAGAGATGCATAGATGAGGGACAGAAGAAATGGAAGCTAAATCAACATGTGCTATAGACATGTGCCAAATCTTCACGATGAATAATTATATACTCAAACATGCAACAATAAAAAAAAATTTTAAGAGCCCAGCTTGGTGGCACAGAGCTATAACCCTAGAACTTCAGCGGTTGAATGCTAAGTGCCACAATTTGAGGCTAGCCTGGCCTACACAGTGAATCCGAGGCCAGCTCACACTGCAAAGTGAGACCATCTCAAACAACAAAAACAAAACGTCCAAGCACAGGAAACTGATGGGTACATGACTATACTTATTCTGACCATGTGTATCAAGTGGAACTGCAGTCAGAAAAAAAAGCCAGGAGCTGGGGAGCAGCTCCAGGGCAAGCACAGCTGCCCAGTGCACGGGACACGGAATTATGGCATCAGGGCGATGCCATATGTGGATGTGGCACAGACTTAGACAGAGCCAGAGAACTCTGGGTTTTTCTTTTCTAAAAAGGTGGCTTGTGAATTAGAGCAGTTCATGTAATTAGAACTTGGAGGAGTAGGGACTAAAGACAGTGCCACTGCAATCTCTCACAGCTGGGCTGATCCCAAGGCTGAAGTGATAGGAGCAGTGTCACCTGAATACAGCATCTCCTGGGGATGCTTAGCTTAGAGTACACCCCAGTCTGGTGGCTTTGGGCTTTAATATATAACCCTGTGACTAAGGAGCTAAATATGTGTGACCTACCAACCCAGCCCCTTTTTCTAACACTAAATCCCCTCCAATAACAGCATTCTTTTGCTGTGGGAGCATTTCTACTTTGGACCCACCTTGATACTCCAAAAGCGTCATTCTAAATTGATTCAAAAATACTAAGAGACTGGGGACCTTAGGTTAATTCTTTTATAGAATGGCAGTACTTTTTTCTTTTTTTAGAGAGGGTCTTTGTATGTAGTTCAGCCTGGCATGAACATGGCTGTTGAGAGGCTATTAGGGAAGCTGTTGGGAGCTGTTGGAAGCGGCTGGCTCTCTTGGGCTGTTAAAGACCTTGGCACACTTTCACCACTGACCTTTGGGTCTTTCCAGCACAGATCCTGAAACAGGCCTGCATGAGACACTGTCATGGGCTCTCTGCCTCCAATTGTACTTGTGGGAGGCACTGTTATGAGCTGTAGGTATTCAGCTGGGCTTATGCAGGCTATTAAGACCCAGGCCCTTTGCTGGATTATTTGGTGTTCAGTGTGTGGACAGATTTCCTGCATTCCTTGTATATGAGTCTTTGGATGATTCATTATAAAATGTATCCTGTACTGTATCGTTCCCTTTGCAAGAACCCCAAACTGTGACACCCATACTGCTGGGAACAAACATTCCCCATCTGAGATGCAGGGAGGACACTCTTCATATAAATTGTTAAGAATTCCTAAACTACTTAAAATTACTCTAATCATGAACAAATGTATTAAATGAAGATATCTTTATACTGAAAGGTATCTAGTACAGCCTTGTAAAAAATGTCAATTTATTTAAAAACAGAACTTCACTTAAAAGTCTAAGAGACGTGACAACTAAACACAATATAAGGTGAAGTGCCCTCCTAGCAATTTACTATGAAATAGTTTAGCAAACAGTATGTATGTGTATGCATGTGAACCTGGATAAACAGGCAGATGGGGAGAATGCAGTAACAAGTAAATGTAGCAAACATCAACACATGGTACATTCATGTGCAAAATGCAGTGATAGTCATTGGACTATTTTACTACATTACAGGCATGAAATGGAAGGGAGAGTAAATGTTTCCTCATAAATATCTGGGCTGTCACAAAGACTAAATGAGACAGGGCACAGGAAGTAGCCTGGAACACACTGAACAGCAAGAACTGCTGGCAGCAGCTGTTTCTAAGGATTTCCACCTCTCCACTTTGAGGCATGCAGTAGGGCCACAGCTCGCCACCATTTGTGAAGTGGTGTTGCCATGTAGCTGCTTCTGGCCAGTGAAACAAGATGAGCAGTATCCACCAGGTGTCGCGGTGCGCGCCTATAATCTCAGCACTCCAGGGGCTGAGGTAGGAGGGTTGCCATGATTTTGAGGCCAGCCTGAACTACGTATTTTCTTAAAAAAATAAAGATAAGCAATATCTGTCACTTCTATATGGAAGCTTTGTAGCCACTAATAAGCCTACTGTGCTCCTTGCAGCCATGCAGTGACCCAAGGACACAGGCTGAGCTAAGGGCCTCAGCACCTGGGTTACTAAGTCACTATGGTCAGTTTTCCTGCTGATATGTTTCCTTATAAATACCTGGGCTGTCTGTCCCACAGACAGCTCCACAGAACAAGAAAGACATAATTTTCTGCTATGTTCAACCAATCAGCTTCAGGAACTGTTGGTCACTGCAGCTGAACTAACTCACAAATCTACAAACTACAAATCTCCAGTCAAATCCTGCCTATACCCTATTTTTGTAAATCAAGGTTATTAGGACCCCAACATGTCTTTATAATGTTGTCTGTGGCTGAGCACCATAATTTATATTTGAGTAGTTACAGTGGATTAAGGTCTGCAAAGAGGAAAATTTTTATGACTTGTCCTTCATAAAGAGCTCTAGGTGGCTGAGGTTTGTTTTTCTTTTTTTTTTCTTTTTGAGACAGGGTCTTACTATGTACCCCAGACTATCTCAAACTCATAGTAATCCTGCCGCCTCAGCCTCTTGAGCACTTGGGATCACAGGTGGGCACCATGCCCAGAGTTTACTGAGACTTGACCAAATCTACCCTGACTGACATAATCAGAAACATAGGTGACAAGAAAATCCATTTATCAAACATGACTTTATACTAGTTGTGTGACCTTAAGTAACTTAACATTGCTATACGTTTCTAGTTGCCCCCTGTAAAAAATGGAGGCAAAAAAAAATAAAAATAAAAAAATAGAGGTAAAGCACCATCTACTTTCTAGGCCCCATCTACTACTTTCTAGGCCTGCTGTTAGAATAAATTCTTTTTTTTTTTTTTTTTGCGGAACCAGGGATTGAACTCAGGCCCTTGCACTTCCCAGGAAAGCACTTATTCTACTGAGCCTTCTCCCCAGCACCTACAATAAATTCTTACACATAAAACAATGAGAACAGGATCCAGAAGCTTGGGAAGGGAGTGCTGGAATAGGCAGAAGTAGGGGTGGGATGTGAACTGATGTAATAAAACTGCTAAGGTAAGAACCTAGCGCACTGTAAGGAATTCAATAAATGGTTGCAATTTTTCTAATTATACAAAAATATACTTGAACAGATATAGAAGTATAGACATGATTAAAAAATAAGTGTTTAATGCGGATAATTTCTGTTAATATTTCTAACATTTCACAAAACATCTTTTGTTGACATTCTACAAATGATGCCATCCAATAATGTCCCAATGCTTTCTTCTTGTGAAGACAGTTTATATATCTGTAATGAGAGATAAATGACACCTTTCCAACATATTCATGCACGTGTCATTCTACCAACATTTATAAGTGAAATTTTCATTCAATTATTGGGTTAAGGGTACAAAATCATGAATCACAATTTAATTAAAATATTCAAAGCAGATGAAAATTCATTGTTATCTCAAATATTTTTCTTTCTTTCTTTTTTGCTTTTTGAGACAGGATTTCACTATGCAGCTCAGGCTGATTTTTGAACTCACATTGTAGCCCAGGCTGAGCTCAAACTCACAGTGATCCTCCTGCCTCAACCTCTTGAGTGCTGGGATTACATGTGTGTGCCACCATGCCTAGCCTCAAATATTTTCTTTAAAATGCAGTTAGGAACATAAAAATGTTCTCTGTACATTAAAACATTCGTATCAATTTTAAAAACCACTCAACTAGATACTCACTTCACAGTATAGCCAACATTCTAAATGTACTATATAATCTTTTTTTTAAAATTTTATTTATTTATTTAGTGTGTGTGTGTGTGTGTATGGCCAGCTCAGCCCACCAGGGGGCGGGCCTGGCTGGCATGTGGTGCTGGGGGATTGAACCGCGGTCCCTGTGCTTTGCTTAGCTTAGCTTGTTCTAAGTAGGTGCTTTAGACCACTGAGCCATCCCACCAGCCCCATGTACTATATAATCTTGAGAACTAAATATAATCACTTTCTTACAGTGGAGAATTTTTTTTTTTAATGTATTTAGTTGTTTCAAGATCTCACTATGCAGCTCGGACTCAGTGATCCTCCTATTTTGAGCCTCCCCAGCACTGAAATTACAGGCATGTGGTACCACGCCTGGACTCTGGCCAGCTCAGCCCATGGGCTGGCACAGCACATGGTGCCAGGGATCAAACTGCCGTCCCTGCACTTGCTTAAGCTTGCCTAAGCAGGTACTTTAGTCCACTGACCTATTTCACTGGCCCTGAGTGGAGAATATTTTTATCAACACATTTCTAATTGTACTTTACATGCACCTCTCAGTTATCTATAATTATTCTTAAATAATTATAAAAATTAACATTTATTTATTCAGTTATTTATTTGTACAGGGCCTTGCTATACAGCTCAGACTCAGTGATCCTCCTGTCTGTGTCTCAGCCTCCCCAGACTGGGATTACAGGCATGTGCCACCATGCCCAATTTCGATAGCTGGCACAACCGGGATTAAACCAGGTCCTTGCATTTGCCAGGCTGGTGCTTAGACTGCCGAGTTATCACCTGGCCCCAAAATTAATAATTCTTAAAAGGCCAAATAAGTCCATTTTTGGTTTGTTTATTTTTTGGGTCAGGGTCCTGTTTGTAATGCAGGCTGGTCTTAAATTCATTATATAGCCCAGGCTAGTCTTGAACTCACAGAGATCCTCCTGCCACAGCGTTATAATGTTGGGATTACAAGCATGTGCCACCCTGCCTGGTTAGGTGCGCTGTTGATCAATAAATCAGCATTATTCACCTATCACACTCAACAAATATAAATTTACAAACCTTTTTGACTTCTGAAATATTTGTTATTTCAGGAAGATTTTCCAGAGAAACCTGAAGACCTTCTACTTGAGATATGAGGTATTCTTGATTTATTTGCTTTTCCCCCTCTTCAATGTAAACAATTAGAACTGATGTGTCATTTGCTGAGATACCAAATTTTTTCAAAGCTTCTGAAATCTAAGGAAGAAGAAAAAATAAAAGAATAAACTAGATCTGAAACATCTAGTGTGCCTTCTTCCTTAGGTAAGTGCTTCTTGCTTTTCATATCCTACTTTTCCCTTTCTTAATCCATTCCCAGCATCTACTGTTTTGGCCTCTAGTTTTGCCTGCTTAAAGCTGCACCTCGCCCCTGCAAAGGCCACACTTCTCCACACTGCCACCACCACACTCTCCTCCCCCATGTGCATTCACACCTCCATTATGTCATTGGACTTAACATTTGTCTCTCTTATCTGCCTCTCTTCAGGCATATACTTGCTTCCTTTGCTCCTAGAACTAGAACGGAAAAGAAACAATCATGATTTGGTAAATTTGATTCCAGGTACTGGAGAATTCTATCACTATGCTGAGATAACTGCATTTTATGAATTTTGCAGTCACCTTTATCTTAACCAAACCACAAGCTTCCTAATTTTCTCTAGATGATATCAGTATCCAATTGTGTTAGTAACAGTAGTAGTAATACTAAAACTTCATTAACAATAAGTAAGGGGCTGGTGAGATGGCTCAGTGGTCTAAAGCACCTACTTAGAACAAGCTAAGCTAAGCAAAAGCACAGAGACCACAGTTCAATCCCCAGCACCACATGCTAGCCAGCCCCGCCCCCTGGTGGGCTGAACTGGCCACACACACACTAAATAAATAAACAAATAAAGTTATATTAAAAAAAACCAAAAAACAAAAAACAATAAGTAAGTCATTTTGTTCCATGTGCTACATGCATGTAAAATGTTGCTAGCTCAAGAATTTTTATTAAGAAAAATATTCTTAGGAGTACATAAAACCAAGAAATTTTCCTGTGCACTTGGTATGTGAGTGAGCACGGATTCAGGACTGCTCTAGGAACCAGCAAGCTCCTGGAACTGTATATGAAAAAGACATGCACCATTTCCTCAAGGAGTTTACCGGACAGTGAAAGACATGCATAAATGTACAAAATGCCTATGCCTAAGTTTTGTTGTTTGGACTTCTGTCAATCTCTTAATCAAAAATACTTGAGAGAATTTCCTGACCCAACATGGTAAGAAGCACAGATAAAATTAGCTTTATTAATTTGGTTAAAGCTAATTTTACCTGTCTTATCATGTTGGGTCAGAAAATTCTCTCAGGTATTTTATTTATTTAGATACAAACTGACTCCAAAGCTTATTTGTCTACACAGTGATAAACCTCAAATCTCAGTGCAGAGCTCTCTTTGCGAATATTTTGGTTTATTACTAAAAACTAGTTTCCCATAATTTAGCCTCCACCCCAACACTAGAGAATACATATGTTATTATGCCAAAGTGCACAGAAATAAGGTCAGTAAGTTTCATATTACATTGTTATTTGGGGACAGGTTGAAAATAACTTCAGTAGATAGAGTTCGTGTCTTCATCCTTCCTAGTTTGTAGAGGTGAACTGCTTTGTTTGCTGCCACAAGTATCTGAAATGGGTCAACAATCTACCAAAGAGAAAATAAACAATTACAGGGAAGAAAAAACATTACATGGGGAGAATGTGAGAGAATCTAAAGATAGCTACCCCTATCATCTGTTAACTTTGGTACACAACTGTTTTACTTCATCTGTCCTATATGGAATATATTTTCAAAATCATTATCTGAAGGTCCAGGTAGTTAAAAAAAACCAGACTCTTAAAGTTTCAAGAAACTTAAATAGTAGAAAAATTTTAAGATAACATTATTGTAGGGTAATATGGGAAATGCTATATTCTAACATTTTACTGTATTATTGTCTTTAGTACTCAAATTATTCAGTGAAATCAGTATTATTCACATGAAGTCACTGAGATAAAGCACATCTGGGCTAAGTTCCAGCTCTGCCACTTACTACCCTAAGAACCTGAGCAAGATCCTAGTGTTTTATCTGTTAGGCCTAAAAATAATAGTACTTAGTTGGTGAGGCTGCTGAAGATGAAGTGAGTTAGGTTACCGAAAGCACTAAATACAAGCTAGGGATAGAGTAAGCGCTGTGTAAGTGTTTGCTATAACTTGCTCAAAGTCATCATCAGTGGCAAAGCTACTCTAAGTGTACTACAATCCCAGTGTGTGCTCTTAACCACTGTGCCGGATCTCCTGAGACGCTGTCGTCAGAATCACTTCACAGATGAAAAACTGGATAGCTGACCCTGTGCCAGACTAAACTGTGCTCAGAGTTACATCATGACCTTTTCTCTTCCTTAGGGCAGAGCCTGGCGCCTCTGCTTCCATTTGTTCTTAAAGGTAAGGTTGGCCAAGTCTGACTTGGACAAGAACTTTTTCACTTAAATATCATAGAATTTTAGCCTCAACTATGTGATGAAAATTAACATTCTGGAAATCCTCTTAAGTTTCACTCAGTTCCATACTTTGTACTTACCACTGTAGGATTTATTAACGAACCATCAATGCTGCCCTCCATGGCCTTCTTTCTCAAATCTCCAGCATTTTTTACATCTTTAAATAACAGAAGGGTCACCCTGCATTCTGGAAATAGGTCCAGCTGACATGTCAACTGCATTTCATAGACAAGCGGGATCCTGCTGCGACGAACTTAAAAAAAATAACAGATTTCTGTTAAGTTAACACGAGCTGGGCATTGTGGCACAAGTCTGTGGTCCTAGTACTCGGGAGGCTAAGGCTAGAGGTTCAAGGACAACCTGGGCTATACAATGAGTTCAGGGCTAGCCTAGACAACACAGCAAGACCCTGTCTCAAATAAAATAAAACATAATACTTAACATTACAACTTTTTTTTTTCTTTTAATAGCCTGGCTAACAAGTGAAAGTAACTGTTAGTGTTAGACAGCAATTAGAAAAACCTATTCGCAAACACATGTGTCTTTCTCATGCTTTCTTAACCCTGCTGAGGTGTTTCCAGCTCTCTTTCCATTGCTGGGAAAGGGTCACAGGAGCTATCCCATCCCGTCTGGTCAGTGGAGAGGATTATACACATGCCTGCCCAGGAGACAACCAGGAGCAAAGTATTAGGAAGTTGTGGAACATAGGCTACTTCAGTATTAATGAAACTTTACACCACCTTAGCTTTTTCACTTTCTGATATCACTATTTTATTAGGATCTGGATACAAATATTAAGAAAATAATTGTAAAGCTGAGTGTGGTATCACATACCTGTAATCCCAGTACTTGGAAGGCTGAGGCAGGGGGATTGCTACAAGTTCAAGGCCAACCTGGGCTACACTGTGAGTTCAAGGTAATCGTGAACTACACAGCAAGATCCTGTATCAAAAAACTCTGTCTCAAAAAAAAAAAAAAAAAATGCAAAGTATAAAGTATCAAACTTGATGCAAAGACATTCATCCCATTCATGGGAATTAGCAGAGAAAATACAATTGTTAAAAAAAAAATAATATTGGTCCTCTCTTAAGACATAAGTTTAGGGGGCTGGAGAGATGGCTCAGTGGTCTAAAGCACCTACTTGGAACAAGCTTGGCAAAGCACAAGGACCGCAGTTCGATCCCCCAGCACCACATGCCAGCCAGCCCCGCCCCCTGGTGGGCTGAGCTGGCCACACACACACACACACACAATAAATAAATGTAATAAATAAATAATTAATTTTAAAAAAAAAGATAAAAAAAAAGACATAAGTTTAGCAGAGTAGACCAAGGAGACAAAAATATATAGACAAAAAAGAAGTACAGGGTAGGTATAGCCCAGCAGACTAAGTGCTTGCTTAGGTAAGCGCAGGGACCAGGGTCAATCCCTGGCATCACATGCTGCACCGGCCCTGCCCCCAGGGCATGCTGAGCCAGTGATGGAGTCCAGACATGGTGGCACACGCCTGTAATCCCAGCACTGGGGAGCCAGAAATCAGGATAATCACTACAAGTCCGAGCCGCTTAGTGAGACCCTGCACACACACACAAAAACTAAACCTTAAAAAAAAGTATAGGGTAGGTATACACTCAGTGACAGAACTGCTTGCCTAGCATGCGGAAGGCTCTGGGTTCCATGCCCAGCACTGGGATTGGGGTGGGGTGAGCAATATAAAAGATCATTTGAATAAACAGAAAGACATAACTACATCCTTGAATGGAAAACTAAGTACTCTAAAACCTGATTTTTGAAAACAACTTTTAACCTTTTTAGGAGGTCCTGGGCATTTAACCTAGGCCCTCAACATGCAAAGGGTGTGCTCTACCACCTAACTACTGTACATCCTTGACCTCAAACAGTTAATGTTTTTTAAACAGTTAATATTTTTTAGACACTTAATATTTTGGAAGGGCCATTTTCTAAATTAATTTCATCTTTTTACTCTGTAGGCTCCATTTCTAGGACTCTTTCTCAAGGAATTAACTGAAAATGTGGGTATTATAATAAGATATGTTTATTATTTTAACAGTGAAAAGTTAAGAACAATTTATCTTGACAATAAGAGGATTAGTACTGTCTAAACAACCATTTAAAAACTGTACAGTTAGCAAGGCTTGTTGGCACAGGTCTATAATCCTAGCACTCTGAAACAGTGAGGCAGGAGGATCAAAAGATCATATCCAGTCTAAACAATTTAGTGACATAGCAAGACCAGGTTTCAAAATAAAATAACAAGGACAGGATATAGCTCAGTATAAAAGCCAGGAGTTCAATGCCCAGTACTGAACATAGAACAAAAACTGTACTCTTGATTTATGAAAACAGCAGTAACATTAACCACTTTGATGGAAAACAAAACATTTTTTGAACTTCAGGATTTTGGAAAAGCAGCATATAAAGAAAAAAACTGAAGACAGCAAAAAATCTGGTTATCTCTGATTTGCTGGAATTACACCTGATTATTTCTGTTATGAAAAAGAAAAAAATAGTATTTGTAAGTGATATCCTGGTACATAGTTTTTTAGTCATATTCATGTCTAATAAAAAAGTGGATACCAATTATACAAAAAGACACGCAGGGAGAAAAAAAAAAAATAAAAGACTTGAAATACCTAAATAGTGTAGATGATTTTTTTCCCCAAAGTGGCAGTACTAAGAATTGAACCCAGGGCCTTCACATGGAGTTACATCCTCCAACCTTTTTGCTTTGGTTTTTTTTTGGGTTTTTTTTTTTTTTTTTTTTTTTTTTTTTTTTTTTTTTTTTTTTTTTTTTGGGGTTTTTTTTTTTTTTTTTTTTTTTTTTTTTTGGCAGGGTCTTGCTGAATTGGTAAATTGCCCAGGCTGGGCTTGAATTTTTCAATCCCCCTAGCTCAGCCTTGAATTATCAATCCCCCAGTCTCAACCCCAGAGGGCTGAGACTACAAGGATGTACTACATGGCTGGCTTATTAAGTGACTTTTATTGTCTGGATAAATAAAAAATTCTAGCAGGAGTGATGGCACACACCTGTAATCCCCAGCACTCAGGAGGCTGAGGCAGGAAGATCACCAAGAATTCAAGGTCAGGCTGGGCTACACAGTGAGACTCTGTCTCAAAACAAAGAAACACTCAAAATATATTTTGTTGTGTATATTCTCAATTTTCAACAGGGAGCACACAAAACAAGAACACTTGACATCAGGGAGGAAAAAAAAAGTCTGTTCTTTTAATACAGGCAAAAACCTTTAAAACCTCAAAATGGTTTGTGGTTCTTTAGTTAATTCACTTAGGCCAGAAAATTTAGAATCATTGTTGGATGTGTTACATGATTTTTTCCTGTTATCCGCATGTTGAAATGTAATTTCCATTTTAAGATAGTTTGAGATGGGAACAGGTAGGGCCTTCAAAAGGTGATTAGGACTGCATCTTCATAAGTGCATCAATGGTTTAACTCCAGAATAAGTCAATTCTAAAAGTCAATTTGACTAGGCCACCTAGTGTACTGCTTTGTCTCTAGCAATGTGACATCCTCTCTCAGCGCTATATTCAGCAACGATACTACTAAATGCTGCCCCTGGACCAGAACTGTTAGCCAATATTAACCACTTTTCTTTCTCACTCCATCTTTATTAGCAACAGAAAATGGACTAATACGCCTATCTTTTAAATTTCATATCTAATCCCTCAATTTTTGCCACCTAAATAGATTTTGATCCGTCCATTTCTTGCCACACCGTCTACCACTTCCCTTCTCTATAGTAGTGGCCTCCTAAGAGTGGTGTCCCTGCCTTCCTTCTTCCAACTTCCACCCGCCGTCATAGTGACCCTTTCAAAACATAAATCAGACCGTGCAGTTCTGGTGTTCTGAAAATAAAGCCCCAACTTTGTGTCAAGCCGTCCCGTCTCTAAAACCTGGGAGCTGCTACCTCTTCTACCACCATCAGCTACTAGTCATAAACCCACTGAAAAGGTAATTTCTTTTTTCATGTCTTTCGCTCACTCTCATTCCTTCCTCCTGCCTTCGGGGTCATTTACCAGAGCAACCAGAGCCTGGGGTTTGCATCTCTGTCATACCAGCTCCTTCTTAAGCCCGGGCACGTTAATCTTGTGCCTGTTCGTGTCGTTCTGTTTGAGACAGTGTCTCACTGTTATCCAGGCTGGCGTCGAACTCCTACATTCATAGTCAAGGTGCCACGGCGCCTACGACGCTATTAGTTTGCCCCGTCGCTAAACTGTATTTCTTGGAATGGAAGGGCTGTCATTTCCACGCCGCCATTCCCAGGGTCAGCCTCGGTAGGCACGTGATAAATATCGGCTCAGGAAATACCGGCCCCGCCCCCAGAACCGTCCCAGCCGCTGGCTGCGGCTCCCACCAGCACTCACGCTCTGGCTTCCGTCCACAGGGTCGCTCGTCCCGCGGAAATAAATCCCTTAGCTTCCGGAGGCGAGCCCAGGCCCCACCCTCCCGGAGCGCGTTCCCGGATTAGCCGGCTCGGGGCGCCCTGCCTTTCTAGCTTGCCGTCCGTTGGTCTGTTCTGAGGCCTGTCAGCGGACGCAAACAGCAGGTGCCGCCCCGTCACTTCCGGCGGAGGCGGGACGCGGCCGCAGCCCGAGCCGGGAGCCGGGGTTTATCTTTTGCTCCGGCAGCAGCGAGGCATCCTGGATTTCTTCCTACTTAAATTGTTGAGAAGATGAACTCACATAGGTTTCCCCTGCTCGAGATTCCAGTTCGTTGTCAGGACAAGCGGGACTCACGTTTACTTCGTGCTTTTCCAGCAGCCAGTCACTTAAGATTGTGGAGCCAACTCCGCTCAGTGATTTGCTTCCGGGACAAACGCCGACGGTACTGGCACGAAGCCAGCCTCTTTTATCTAGAGAAAGCTCTAAAATTTGTTGCGAAATCTTTGTATAGGCCTTCCAAGGAGGGTAAACAGGCTCTAAAGTAATTTCCATTTTAATTATGGTTGCGGCTTCTCAATACGTTTGCAGTGTAGCTGTCTGGTGCATATGTACTATGAAGAGAAAAAAAGGGAAAATGCGAGGCCGCGGCTCTAACTCCTAAAAAGCATGGTTTAGAAACATCGACCAAAACAGGGCCATTTGAAACAGAGATGGATGAATGTCCGAAAACAATCAGTACATCTAGAAGAGCAGCATTTCAGGAACTTTATATACAGTATTCTCAGAGGTTGTATAGACGATACTTTTTTCAGTGCTGTGTGCCAACCTAGGGGCTTCCCCCTGCAAGCGTTCTGCCACTAAACTATCTCCAGGCTGTATTTTCTAAGTGCATTATGACAAAAGATGCATTCAGATTGTATTTTTAAAGCTCAAAAATAAGATGAAAAATAATAATAATCAAGATGACATAAATAGCACTTAACAAAAGGGAGATGCTTAATGTTATTAATCATGTGGGAAATACAAATTTAAAATGCAAGATATGCCCCATAGCCAATGACTAAGATGTAAAGTACAATACCAAGTGCCATCAGAGATGCAGAACTAAAAACCTCTTTATGTTGCTGTTCTGAATAGAAAATGCTATCACCACTTTCAAGAAGTTCTTGTTTCTTTAAAAATGTTAAACATGGGGCCGGGGAGATGGCTCAGTGGAATAAGCGCTTCCCAGGCAAGGACAAGGGCCTGAGTTCAATCCCCCGTCCGGAAAAAAAAAAAAAAATGTTAAACATATTTTCACCACATTCAGTAGTTCCACTCCTCACTATTTGCTCTGGAGAGGGGCAAATACATCCATGCAAAGGCTTGTGAAAATCAAGTTCATTTAAAAAAAAAAAAGAAAAGAAAATCAAGTTCATTGCATTGATTACCAACTGGTCTGAATGTAGTGGAAGAGAACACACCATACACAACTAGAGATAGACAGAGGTACCCCAGAAGCCTGGGATTCATTGCAAGCTGGCCTCCCAAGATTCAGGAAAGCTGTCCATGGTAGATGGAAGCTCATCTGCAAATACTTCTCTTCACCATTGCTAGGGATTTGAAAAATAAATCCACCCTATGGTATATACCCTGGAGGCAACATGCCATACTGGGCTAAAAACAAAGTACAACCTGTTACTAGAGGCAAATGGGACACAGCCTAGCCAAGTCCCTCTTTACTGTAAAATGCTGCATTCCCAGTCCATTGTACTTACTCTTGACAATTACAAGTGAAAAAGAGGAAAGAAAGAACTGGCCGAGTCCAAGGGCACCCAGAGAACTGACCTGCTGCTTATATGTGAAAGTTCCTATCAACTTTACTTCTAACAGGTGGAAATTATAAAAACTCAACACCATATCAATGGATAAAATGGGGAAAACTGAGACAATGAAATACTACTCAGTAATACACAGAAAATGAAGTATAGATTGTCCAAACATCAATGAATCTACAAAATATACTAATTAAAACCAGAGAGAAAATTACTGTAGGATTCCATTTCTACAAAATTCTACTAGGAGCAACAAATTTAGAGTGACTAAAAGCAAATCAGCACTTATGTGGGATGAAACTTGAGGGTGAAGCCAGTGTTTCTACCTTGCTGTGCTGTTACAGGGTCATAGGAACATGTCAAAACACTTTACAAAAGTACATTTTTATAGGCTAAAGTTACATTCAAGTGAATTAGGTAAGTTGTCATATATAAAGGTATCTACAATGAAATCAATTTATTAATAAAATGAATCTTCTACATACAGTAACACATGAATTTTAAAATGATGAATAAAAACTCAAGATTAAGAGTACATACAATATGATTCTACTTATATAAAATTAATCTATAGTGACAGCAGATCAGAGGTTGCTGAGATAGGGGGCCTGTTGTGCAAAGAGAGGAGGAGGAAACAACGTAGCAGATATGTTCTACTTTGCTTGTGGTAATGACTTACTGGGCGCATAGAGACAACACATCTAATTGGTTACTTTATAAATAAGTACAGTGTATTGTCAATTATGTCTCTAATTACATCTCTATGACTATAGCTACAATAAATCCCAGCACTCTGCAAAGCTGAGGTAGGAGGATGGCAAGTTAAAACTTAGCCTGGGCAACTCAGTGAGACCCTATCTCAAAATAAAAAATAACCAGGGCCGAGGATATAGACTATAATGAAGACCCCGGATTCAATCACCAGACAGGAAAAAAAGCAACAACGCTCATAATACCAGGTGCTAGTGAGGATGTGAGCAATGGGGACTCTCGTACCTTGCTGAGAGAGAGGTAAAGTAGTGTATACTGGAAGTTTCCTAGTTTTCCCTTGCCCCACAACAGCCTTGCAGCAACTGCACTCCAATCAAAAATAAAAAGATGTTCAGGTAAAAACCCAAATGCAAAAAATGTTTATCGCAGCTTTGCTCAAAATTCAAAAACAATACTAACTTAGCAACACAAGGGAATGAATGGTCGATCCACTCAGTGATGTGGATGAATCTCAAAAACAGCATGCTAAACCAAAAAAACATTTGGAAGGATATATACTCAATTTGTCTACTTAGATGACACTGCAAGAAAAGGTGAAACTAGTGATCAGGAACAGATTATCAGTTGTCAGGGTCTGGGATTGTTGGTAGTGATTGATCAGCTTCAAAGTGCTGGTAGGATCTTGGTTTGTGGGGGGATGTGTCCTATATTTTGATTGTTGCAGTGGTTACAAACCTGATCTATTTGTCAAAACTCACTGAATTATATGCTAAGATGGGATGCATTACACCATTTTTTTGTTGTTGTCAATAGTAAATTTAATTATGTAACAACCTTAAAATAGAAAAGTTAATGGTTTACAAGTAAAATTTCAATAGGTTTTTTAAAATACAAGAAAATTCTTTACAATTTACACTTCAAAGTTTACATTTTCATTAATCAAATTCTCAGTATACTGGGGCTAGTGAAAGAATATTATTTACATCATGAGGAAGATATTTTTTTAAACAGATACTTGTTAAAATTTTATATAAAAATTTTCAAAAATTTTTAACATGAACTTACGCTAATATACATTTTATATACATATACATTTATGAGTCCACAATGTTTTTCCCTGCATGGTCAGTACAAAGAAAGTTACAGCATACTGGATCCTAACTGTATTTTTAGTTTTAAATTATTTTTAGTACTTACGCTTTGTAACTACAGTCTTACACTTCAATGTGAATAGAGATAAAAATGTTTTTCCTCTTCATTTAAACCTTGGCAGGCTTAACTCTCAAATCTTAGAGGTTAAACCCGATTTAAAAGCCCACAAAGAACAAACTGCTTAGTCAGAAATCTGGACTTCACAACTAAGGAGTCTCCTGGCCCACAAAATATGAAGGGAAAATCCTTACTGTCTAAAAACATAAAACTTTATGTAATGTTTTATGAGCCAGTGATAGAGTAAAAACATAATCTCCTCTCACCTTATGGGCTAAGATTTCTAAACCAAAGCTGTAAAATAACCTCCTTATATCATAAACACTTATTTTTACACATAGGTAATATTTTTTTTCTTTATATTATAGTATTATAGCTAGGGTTTACTCTTAACTCATGAATTCCTAAGAGTCCGTAATTAGGGCACCATTTCATTTTAGTGATGTCTGACTCTCACATTACAATTATTTAGCTAGATGATGAGTTCATTTATTCTAAGTCATTTGAAAATTGAGACCTATCAGTAATTTAACATCACTCAGATCTCAAAACTATTGAATTCTTTGCATGAGAACTGCCTAGTTTTGGTGTATTGTTAAAATTGGCCAGAAATCTCAAAATGACATATTTTAAGTTTTCAAGTGGACTATAGACTCAAAACGCCTAAAGGAGCCCTGCAGTTAATGAAAGTAGAACAGACCTAAGTGAAGTGAATCAAAGGATATGCTTTCATCTAGAGAGGGGCTACTATTCAGACTGAACTTATGGATGTACTGTCAGGGACCAATTTTTCAAAGGAAGCCAGAAATTAAACTTCATGATTATATTCCTCTTGGAGAGGTGGAAACCCGTAATTCTTGATATTGTTACTTGGATGTAACTGACGTTTACTTATTCTTAAAGGATACAAGTTTTTGTAGAATTCCATATCAAATTAGTGGAAAATATCAGCTACTTGCCATCCATGTGGTTGAACAATCAAAATTTTATGACTGTCCAATTTTTAAACAAATCTCAGATTCCCTAGAAATCACAGTCAGAAGCAAGGATTCAATCAGTGGTATTTTATTTGAGATATGTAAGAACAGAGCACATGAGGAAAATGTTAAGGGAAGCAAGATAGGATGCACAACAATGTCCTGTAATGAGTTACTGCACTTGCAGGCTTTGCAATTAGCCAGGAAGACATGCCTTGTTTAGCTTTGTGTTTACTCAGGAGGCTGAACCTTCTCTGGAAGATTCACAAGGCAAACCCATGGCTCAGCAGACTACAGCAAGGACACAGAAAGGAGCATTTGCCTGCCAGTCTCCTTCCTGTCTTCTCCATCTCATTAATCAAGTACCTCCAGAAGGAGATAACTCTTCCACACTGGCTCACTCTCCACCCTTCAGGGGCAGCTCAGCAAGCCAGATCCCAAGGTCTGAAAGGTGGGAGCATTTCCTCTAATTTGATGGCAGGGGCAGATCTAAGAGCAGAATGGCTCGTTGTAGAGGTCAAAAGGATTACGCAGGCCTGGAGTTAACTTGAGTTCAGATCAGCTTGGGGATCTCAATAAGGTGGCTGGCAAAGGCTAACAGGGGCATTGTGGACCCAGAGCTAAACAATGCTGTCACAAATAGGGTGCTGAGAGTATTTTAGATAGTCCTTTAGATCCTGTGTTCATATTACATGGATATAAATGAAATCAATAATAACACAAGGAGCCTTTAGGAAAAGGGATTATTCAGTTGAGTGTAAGGTTGGTAAGACTTTATGGAGATACGGCTCAAGTGATGAGAATAACTGGTTGATAGAGCCCTGGAAGACAAAGGGTGTGGTATCTAAAGTGTGCATGGCACAGAGTACTCATGAAATAGCTGGCATGCAGACATGGAAGGGAATACGAAGTACACAAAAAGTCAGCTTGCAGTCAGATACAGAAGCCCTGATGAAGAGTTAGCTGAGAACAGAATATGGAGGGGATCTTGAAATTCAAGATTTCCTAGAGAAGAGTAACAGGAGTAAGTCTGTTTTCAGGACACAATTAGGATTCTTGTTAGAAGGTCTTCAGTTTAAACAAGATCGCAAATGAGCCTGCCTCCATAGGAGGAGCATCTGTGGCTGGCATTATAGGTCCAAATAATGACCTGGGACACTCAATGGCTTATACTCCTGGAATGTGAGGCACCAAAATAATTACCTTAGGATAAACCCCAAAAGTAATTTATTTAGTAATGAAAGCTCATTACACTGGTTCTCATGCCAAAACTTTCAAGCCCTACCCAAACCTTACCAAATGACAGTAAAGGAATTTTTAAAGATAAAAACTCCCCAGGGTGGGAAAGATAAAATATGGCAGATGAGACAATAAAAATTTTATAGATGGTATGTCAGAATGGTGAAAAACAGCTGGGTGCGGTGACACACACCTGTAATCTCAGCACTCCACAGGTTAAGGCAGGAGAATCACTGCCAGTCTGAGGCCAGCCTGGGATACACAGCCTGAACTACATGTCTCAAAAGGCCAAGAAAAAAAAAAATATAAGAAAATGGTTAAAAAAAAATATATAAAGCCTGTGTTCAGCAGGGGAAACATAATACACTGATTAACCACTTCACTGTTAGTCCACCACAAGAACAGAACTGATCTTGGCTTTTAGTGCCTCAATCTTAAGTACAGGTAGATGAAAAATAAATATGATCACCAAGTGTTTCAAGAATATCTCTAATATGAGACAGATATGGAGGGGGAAGGCTGATGCAGAAAATCAAAGAAATTTTAAAGTCTGATAACATTAAGGAGGTATAAAATAATGCATCATTTAAAAGTTTATTCTTTTTTTGGGCCAGCAAGATTGCTCAGTGGACTAAGCACCTGCTTAGGCAAGCACAGGGACCAGGATCTGATCCCCGGTACTGCATGCACGTGGGCCCTGCCCTGGGGCGCACTGAGCCAGTGACTGAGTCGAATCTGGGCATGGTAGCACACCCCTGTAATCCCAGAGCTGGGGAGGCTGAAAACGGGAGGATCACTACAAGTCTGAGCTGTGTAGTGAAGACTCTGTACCAAATACATTAAAAAAAAAAAAATTTCTTTTTTAAAAAATATGCCATTCAGAAAGTAAGAGCTATCTTAGAAGTTAATACAGAGCTAGGTGTTGTAGCATATTTCTGTGGTCCTACTTACGATACAGAATGCTGAGGAGGATTGCTTGAATCTGGGAATTTAAGACCAACCTGGGCAACACATGAGACCTCATCTCTCAAAAAAAAAGACATACACACACACATAGGAGTTAGAAATGTAGATCAGTGATACAGCACTTGCCTCACAGGCAAATCCTGAGTTTACCTCCCTGTACCTCAACAGAAAAAATATTTTAAAAGATAAACAATCATATAATTACTCATATTGAAATATTTTGTTATTACATATTCAGAGAATGAATTAATAAGGTCCATATCATTATGGAAAAGCAGCAAACGGGAAAAAGACGTGTGGTATAGTATGGCTCATGAGGAATGATACTTAGCTAATAATACAAACTTAGAATACTGATTCAAACAAAAGTTGAGAAATAATTGTTGTATCTTGAACTTTAAACTATTTGCATGCACTTTTTAAATAAAAATAATTTTAAAAGCTTAAATAGACCACTAAAAAACTTTCAGAAAGGGAACTACTTGATCTTTAGTCAGAGGCCTTAGTTTTTTCAATAATCAGAAGTCAGCACTAGAGTGGTGAAGAATAAAGGAGACATGAGATATAAAATGGCAGGTCCTTAAGCCACACTTTTGAAAGTGACAGAGCCCATACGATGGTACTAATATAAGTGTCCTCCTCTGAAGTGGCCTGCATGTCATTCCTGCATGGGGACTGAAGCCAGAGCTCTTCCACTGAGCTACATCCCCTGCCTTTTTTTGAGACAAGATCTTACTGAGCTCTCCCAATAGGAATAAAACTTGTGATCTCCTGCCTGAGCCTTCCAAGTGCTGGGATTACAGGTATGCACCACCATCCCTGCTTTGCCAAGCCATTCTTTACAACTATGGGACTAGGTAGATTCCTGTTTGCACCCATGTTTGTTTGTTTGTTTGTTTTTTGGTTTTTTTTTTTGTCTCATAGTGGAATGTCTTCCAATGTAAGGCTTCATGATATCTCTAGGGTAGCAATTTACAAGAGCAGGCTTATAACCAAAGGACTTCTGTATCTCTCTTAAATGCAGCAAGAAGAAAAAAATTTATGAGCTATTATTTCAGTAAAGCAAAGCAACATGACTGAATTTAGATACAGGCAAGGCGAACACTTGAGTTACAGTACTTCCTTAAGGTCAGGTTCCACACAATGTTTACATATAAAACAGCTATCTTATATAGCATCAGACATTCTATTATACAAACCCTCAAAATCAAGAGGCCTTGAAAATGAATCTGAGTTGCCCAAACATTCCTCAAATAGTCATTGGGGCTCAGTATGTGTCATGATATTCAGATACTTTCTCAAGCAAGCAAAGATTTCTAGCTTCCTCTGAAACCAAAAAAAATCAGCATCCTCTCAAGTGATCTACCTGTGTATTCCTGAGGTAAAGCACCACTCCAGTGTAAGATACAACTGGAAAAAGATCCCAGAGAGTTATGTTCAAAAGAAGAGGAATAACAGTCTTCCCAGATATTCCAGACAATTGGTAGTCACATTATTCCATTCATTGAGCAACTTCTGTAATTCTATAAAAGTTTTCAAGCTTTCTGGATGGTTCAACCCCTTTGATGACATTTATCTTGTGATCAAATTATCAGGATAATTATCATCTGATTAACCAACACTAGTTTATCATTCTTGCCCAATTAACAATCCCTAACATTTTTATCCATTTTTGTGTTTGATGGCACATCTGGCAATTCAGTATAAGGAGGTTGGTCAAATCCCAATACTGACTGCCAAAGAAAGAAACATCTAGTCACAAAAATATCAGAACTAATACCAATAGTGATTAGCTTGAGGAAACTGTCTTTCTAGGTAGATTTTAGTAGAAATTTGAACAGTTAGGGAAAAAAAGATATTGTTAGTGACTGGATCAACAAGCATAACAAAAACACTAAGAAATTCATACCACAAATCTAATCTGAAGGAAATACATAGAAAAAAAGGATACAATTTTAAAAATAATTTGCAAGGGAAGTTTATCAGATCTAAAACATCGTCCTGTAGAAAAATTTAAGTGGAATGACCGATTTTTACATTACTATAATTAATGTGAATTTATAAGCAAAGAGGTAATATTATCTCATAACTTCTCTTTAAGCTTGAACACATAAAAGGGAGCAATAATTTTTTTTAAAAAAACCTCATTGACCTGAAAAATAATTTGACCTGATTTTTACTGAAAGTCACTCCAGCAATCTTCAGCCCAGCTCTCATCACCAAGTAGATTTCCAGGACAGGGCTGTATCACTTGTTCCATCCCCAACAGGCTGGAGAAGAAAGTCTCTGGTAACCACCAGCATACCACCTCTTATTCTGAGCTGCTTGGCTGCCATTTGGTTTCACACTCCAAAAGTATCTCCTTTGTGAATAGTCCTCTCCAGCAGGGCCAGGAGGAGGGATATGACCTCTCTGGTAAACATTCTGAGTTTGTGAAAATTTTCTTAAACAGAAGAGAACAAACCATTATTAGAATAAAATATAATGTCTTTTGAAGCAATAGATATTGTGGTTCTGCTTCCTACCTGCCTGACCTTACCAGATATATTGACCTAGCTCTTCATTCTTTATAAAATGGAGCTATAAGTGCCCTCCTTCTTTACAGGCTGTTATAAAGGTAAATTAAAACAATATGTTTTAAGTTTCCTACAAAGCTCTGGCATACACAGGTTCACAGGAGCTTTTCCATCATCAGCCCACACTAGTCAAACTGACTACATTCCCTCCAAAGTTAGGCACAGTTGATATTACACAGAATAAGGTATTCATATTGAAAAGAGAACTGCTTTTATTTTATAGATAGGAAAGTATTTAAAAAAAAAAAAAAAAAAAACTGCAACCATGATACATGCACCAAACTGGTACAACCAGGGTTTCTTTCAAGACTATGATTAGCAAATATATATAATCAAATAAAAATATGAAACTGATTAGAAGAAACCATAAACCTCTCAATCCCACTTAAACTAATTCAACACATTAACAATTTTCTTTTACTTTTTCTCACTGCATCTTTTTTTGACTATTAAATCATAGTACTGTTTTTGCTTATCACTAACACTTCATAAAATGTTGTAGTATGGATATATTATAATTACTTTGCTATATTTTCCATTGTTTGAAATATAGGCTACTACTAGTTCTTATACTACCATAAACACTTCTGAAATTAACATCCATGAATATATACTACTATATCTAAGCACCTAGACCAGTATCTGACCTTAGAGGGGAGTTTTACAAATGTACTGTACGATGATTCAATGAATAGCCTTTTCTACATTTTGAAGTATTTCCTTAGTCTCAAGATGAAATTACCAGATATATTTATGGCTATTAACACTGTGTTTCTAAAGGGCTATACCTATTTTCTATGTTACTATCACCATCTTTTTCAAATGTTTGTATCTCTTAAAAATGCCAACATTTTCATGAAAGTGTTTACAATGTGCTCAACTATTTTAACAGATGATGTGGTCAACAATCTCTTATGGGTTATGTATTACAAAAATCTCTACCGGACCAATTAAAAAAATGGAAATTTAGAAAAGTATCTCACCAAAAACCACCCACTGGGTAAATGGCAGAACCAGGAGACAAATCCAGGTCTGGCCTGACAAACACTCCACTGTACTGCTCATCAAAAACTGTTGTTAAACAAAAAGGGCCAGCCAAATAGCTCAGTGGATTAAAGCACCTGCTTAGGCAGACACAGGGGCCAAGGGTTCAACCCCTGGCCTGCTGTGCCAGCACCGCCCCCAGAGTGCAATGACACAGCGAATGAGACTGGATGTGGTGGTGTGCAACTATAATCTCAGCACTTGGGAGGCTGAAATACAGGATCACTTCAAGTCTGATCTGTGTAGGAAGACCCTGCACTAAATAACATTTTTTTTTTAAAGTTGCTGAGCAAAGAATAAGGCCTTGCTTTTATGATGCTCAATTTTAGGTATCAACTAAACTGAATTAAGGAATACCCAAATATCTGATAAGAGATTATTTCTGGGTATACCTGTGAAAAGTGTTCTGGAAAAGACTGGTGTGTAAGCTAGTGAACTAAGGGGCTAAGATTGGCTCTCCATGTAGGTGGGCAACAATCAAATGGCTTGAATTCCAGTAGAAATTTGCCCTCTCTGCTGGAGCTGGGACACCCTTCTTTCTCTTGCCCTCAGACACTAAAAGTCAGCCCCTGGACTCCAGAATTTGTTAGCAGTGCACCTTCCCCTCTACCATATAACATTGACCCTGACCCCAAGGGTTCTCAGGTTTTAGGACTTGAGCTGCAAGTTACAAGGTTCCTTGGTGTGGACCCTTTCTCACTGCAACTGAGTTATACTACAGTTGGGTCACACTATCCTTGGGTGTCTAGCTTACATGTAGCCTGTTGTGAGGCTTCTCCGCCTTCGGAACTGCTTGAGCCAATTCCCCTATTAAAGCCTTTCTTATATCTCTTTTCCCCTTCCTCTCCTCCAGATAGAGATAATTTATGGAATTCAGGACCTTTACACTGATCTGCATTCCAACTTTCTTATTTTGAGACAGAATCTTACTAAACTGCTATGCTGTCCAGGCTGAGCTCCAACTTGTACTCCTTCTGCCTCCAAAAGTGCTGAGATTATAGATGTGTGTCACTATATCTGGCTTTTCTGGATAACTCCAATATACTACTTTCACTGAACTCAGATTGCTCCCATTTCACAAGTGTGATTAATCTGTCTAAATGCTTTGCAAATGTCTCTATTGGTTTGGTTTTTTTTTTTTTTTTTTTTGGTGGTACCAGGTATTGAACTCAGTACCCTGAGCTTGCCAGGCAGGTACTTATTCTACTGAGCTATCTCCCTGGCCCCTCTATTGGGATTTTATTATTCTTCTTAATTTGTGTTTACTCTTTAAATAGCAACCTTTTTCGTCCTAAGAGCTATACCAAAAGTACAATAGCTCAGTGTTCTAAAGCGCCTGTGTAGGCAAGTGCAGGGACTTCAGTTCGATTCCTGGCACCACATGCCACACCAACCCTGCCCCCAGGGCAGGCTGAGCCAACCACCAAAAAAAAGAAAAAAAAAAAAAAAAATCAGTGAAATTTTCTAAGTTCCTTTCCCAAAAATCTATGAAGTTATACATTCCCTACCCTGCATTTGATTTTCCAAAATACATAGCAGGTTACCTCCTAGTTCATACTGACCAGCAAGAAAACATCAATCCCTCATCATTGTAACATGCTTTCACAAGTTAATAGTATTAATTTCTATTTCAGCTCTAGACAAAGGGAAAGCAGATGTACCTGACTGATTGTTGCCAGTTCTGGGTCTGGGTATGAAAACGCCGGGAAGGGGGTGGATTGTGTAGGCTATACCTTGACCCACGGTTAACAAACTTGTTATTGCTGTGGACCGGTTCCACAGAGTCTTCAAAACCACTTGATCTGGGTACACCAAAATTCCAGTTCCTCAAAGAAAATATTTCCACAGTTATTACTGGTTTCCAACTTTAGAAGCCAATTTACAGTATTTTTGACCTATGTAAATAACAATCTCTTCCTGTTTAGTTTTTCCCAATAAAGAATGAGAATAATGAACATATCCAACTTGAATTATATTAAAAAAAAAAAAAAAAAAAAAGATCTCCTTAACCACAAACCTCATATGTGAAATTGAAGACTTACTTTCTGATAGGACCATTCTGAAGATCTTCAACATAGTTTTGCCTTTCTATGCAATGTCCTCGGCATCTATTGAATACTGAGGAGTGAGTGAATTATTAGAAATTACTATACAAAAAATAAATCTTTCCCAAAGAGATTAAAAAATAAAATCACTAATTACTTAGGCTATGATAGTTCATCACTAGCAGATATAGCCCTTTAAATTTTTTTTTATTTTTATATTACCTTATACATAGTTTGGGGGGTTTCTGGGTCTTTTTCTTTCTTTTTTTGGTGCTGGGCATGCACTCTATCACTGAGCTACACCCCAGCCCCAAGAGTTGCTTTTCTCTTTTCTTTTGTTATATCTTATATTGGAGCAAATGAATTATAATTTTTTTTCAAAATTTGAGAAATTGATCTACATTTTTACCTTTAACTTTTATAAAAAGGGAAAAATAGTGACAACCCTTATACTTACATTCAATTGCATCATCTGGCCTCATGCCTTCTACATCAATCAAATATCTAACAAAACAACATAATTTGGGTCATTTATATATACGAAAAGAAAAAAAAGTTTTTTCAAAAAAGGTCCAATTTCACTTACAAATGGAGACATAAAAATCCTAAGGAAATATCAGCACATCTAACAATTACTAAAGAATGATATGCCACAACAACAAAAAGACTATTCCAAAAATGCAAAGATGACCCAACTTTAGAAAATCTATTAATAAAAACACATATACTAATGTGATAATTTAACTAAAAGAAGAAAGGAAAGAAAATACAGGCCCAAAATGGCAGGTGCTTAAAAATTTTAAGAGGCATTTTTTGAACAAAATGCTACGTACACTAAAAACAGACGACGTCCTTAATGTGACAGAATATTTATCAGGAATCAACAAGCAAAAGACAAATTGGGAAAAATAGTAAGATCGTATCTAAAAAATTTTGTATAACCAACTATGTGGGCCAGAAACAGGAGTCATCGTTATTATCAGCCATTTCTTCTCATTTTCCCCTTCACTCCACCATCAAGCTGTGACAAGATATCACTTAAATAATCCCTGGAATATGACCATGTTTTCCACCAAATAGCCACCACATTTTGCTCCAGGATACACTACGCCTGATTTCCTATAGGTTTCCTAACTTGACTCCTTATTTCTGCTTCTTTCCTCTGTGGTGTATTCTCCATTCAGTAGTAAAATGATAGGTTGAAAACAAAATTTTATTATGTTCCATACACTCATTGCCCCCAAAACACTCAGTGGTTTTCTATTGTTCTTAAAACAAAACTTTAAACAGTTTTGTGTGATCTAGCTCCTACCTAAACTGCCACCTTCATCTGAGTATAATTTGCCCAATGGAACTCTCCAACACAGTGTATGTTGACCTGTTTTTTTTTTTTTGCTGTTCCTGATAGCCACAATTCTCTCCAAAGTGTTCCTATCTGACTGGTATCAATTCAACTTTCAGATATTTGCCTCAAACTTCTTTATGGAAATCTTTAGTCCCTCCGCTTGATGAGATGAAATCCTTTCTATTGTAACCTCTCATAATAGCACGTCCCTTTGCACAGCACTTGTCAGTTATAATTTAAGTGCATTTGTGTGATTGATATCTATTCCTTCACAAAAGGCAGTTTTACAGTTTCTGAAGGGAGAAACATAAATACGCACAGTACAGAAATATCCATAAAAAAGTACAAGAATGTGTACTCTCATTCATAAATTCCACTCTGAATGAAATTACCTGTGAGACAACTCCATATGTATTCCAAGATGTTCACAAGGGAATGCTCGCTACTTTGAGTATTAAAAACTTCTGACTTCATGTTCATCAGTATGTGAGTGAACAATGCACTTTTTAAGAACAAAACTTCCAAGGACTTTCATAGAAACATGTTCACACCACACTGCATTAAGTAGCACGTCTATTATACCAGAAACCACACTATATGCTTTTATCTACATTTCTGAGGACTAAAAGGATATATATTAAAGTATTAATGATGGTAAATCTATTGGTGGCAGACAAAAGTGCCTTCTACTTCCCACATTTCTATACTGATTACAGTTTTTGCAATAAGCTTACATCATCATTATATTCAGACAAAAACAACTTAAATATGATTTACCTTTAGGATTGGCAACTCACCTGCAGATGAGGTAGCCAGTCCTGTTTAAACCATGGGTACAGTGAACACCAATAAGTTTGTCTATAAAACAAGAAATACAGAGTAAAGTAACTGAGAAAAAAAAAAAAAAAAAAAAAGACATGTACAAGTTATTGTAACATTACCAACACCCTGAAAAGAATGTATTTTTCAGGAACGTTATTAGACAGAATAAGTTATAAGAAAACCAATATTCACTTTCTACAATAAAATTTGCATAGCCCCCCAATGATGTAAACTACAGAAGGCCTATTCAGGTATTAACAGCAAAACTGCACTGAGACCAAGTGATTTGTCTTATTATAATGTATCCATTAGAACTAATTTCATTATAGAAAAAGCAAGCAAAACAATAGGTATCTAAAAGAAAGAAAATTATTTTAGAATGAAACAAATAAAATGGCTTAACTTTCTATTTTGTTTGTTCGTTTATTCATTCCTCTCCCCAACCCCCACCCCTTCTTTCTTTCTTTGCAGTACTGGAGGCAAACACTTTAAACACCAAGCTATAGACCAGACCTTTTGATACTGTGAACAAAACTTTAACCAGAGTGACAAAAATAATGGAAACGCCTTAAATATGCAAAATGAATAGACAATTCCACCAGTTCACACTGTCTTATTTCATTCTATTTGGGACTGCCACACTCCTAACATTTGCCTTTTGCTGTTTCTTTTCTGTAACTCTCAGAATCTGAGATTTTCTATTTTTTTAATCTGTCACTTCTTAACCAATACAGAAGACAAAACAAGATTTTTTTTTAAGTGAGATGGTTTAGCTCATCTTTCTCATTAAAATCACTTTTCAAAGTAAAGTATTTCTTTTACCAACAAAACAAAAAACACTGTATTATCTACTTTCCAGTTTCACCTTAACACCATAACTACAGACTTAATGTCAAAACATAAAAACTACGAACTATCCCCAATGTCATTCAAAATTACCAAAATTTAGTTTTTTAAAAAAAAAAATCCCAAAACTTACCATTATCTTTATTTTCTTTCAAAAATTCATTAACAGCACACTTGAATTTAAAAATAGTGCCATCATTAGGCACTTGATGCCCAACTGTAAAAATTTTTAAATAACTAATAGTTTCTGGTAAATCCTATAAAGCAAAACAAGAAAAATATATATTATCTTACTTGTATAAAATGAATCAGAACAACCAGATGATAAACCAAGAGATTATAATAAACTCCAAAAGTCAGCAACTCTGATGAAATAGCTAATTTTTCCAAAGCTGCTTCAATCAAGATAGATACATTAATTGATAAAACTACTGGACAGATAATCAACAGGTATACAAGACACAGTGAATTTTATATGAATGAAAACAGATACAACATAACTAAAGATTCTACGAGCAGTTCTATCTAATATTTCACATTTCAAGGTCCAATCCCTTCACAAAGCAGCTGTCAAACATAAATATTCTTGAGGTGGGAGAAATTAGGACAGGTAAGAGACAGACGAGTTAACTGAAAATCCTGTAACTCTAAGTATCAGCAAAAACCCATGATGTAGATTATCTTATAAACTGAGCTACCAGCTCTACCCCCCAAAAAAGCCTAGGATGGAGGCTTTGCTACTCTCAGCCCAGTAGCAATGAGTACCTCTTAGCATTCAAATTGTAGTCTGAAATACTTTCATTAAAAGAAATCAAAACAGTTTGTTAGTACATGATTTGTATTGAGGCTGGATGTACATAAGATGTGTTGCAACTTTTTTAATACAAATACAAAGAAAAGTGATTAATGACTACTAGGATCAGATCAAATCCAGGTTGAACTAGTGGGGGAGCCTGTCTCAAAAAAAAAGAGCTGAATGAATTAATGGTACACAGTGAACACTAATAAGTACATGTATCTTTCTGTATATGTTTGGAATGTCTGATAATAGCTTAAAAGTAAGAATGTATCATTGTAAAGCTCTGGCAATTTCTCATAAGGTTAAACTACTACATGATCTAGCAATTCCACTCCTACCTATACCTTTAAAAGAACTGAAAGCAAGGATCTGAGCAAATACTTGCACACCAATGTTCATAGTACCATTATTCATAATAGCCAAAGGAACTATCCAATTGTCTACCGGTAAGTGAATAAACAAAACATGGCATACACATACCATGAAATTTTCAGCCATAAAAAAAAAAAGATTCTGATACATGCTACAACATTAAAGTACCTTAAAAACGTAAGTAAAGCCAGAAGCAGAAGGAAAAATAATGTATAACACACTCGTATAAGGTAAAATAGGTAAATTTATATAGAGATAGAAAGTAGAGGTTACCAGGACCTAACTAAGGTGATAAAGGAAGAAGGGAATTACTTTTTTTTTTTTTTTAATTTTATTTATTTATGTGTGTGTGTGTGTGTGGCCAGCTCAGCCCACCAGGGGGCGGGGCTGGCTGGCATGTGGTGCTGGGGGATTGAACTGCGGTCCCTGTGCTTTGCTAACCTTGTTCTAAGTAGGTGCTTTAGACCACTGAGCCATCTCACCAGCCCCGGGAATTACTTTTTTTAAAAAAAAAAAAATCATTTATTTATTTGGTACAGGGTCTCACTACACGAGCTCAGACTCGTAGTGATCCTATCTCAGCCTCCCCAGCAATGGAATTATAGGAGTGTGCTACTACACCCAGCCCCAGTGATCGAACCTGGTTCTTTGCATTTGACAGGCAGGTGCTTAGACCGCAGAGCTATCTTCCCAATCCAGTAGAATTACTGTTTAATTGTTACAAAGTTGTTGTTCAGGATGATAGAAATAATATTCACAGTGGTAATGATGACCAAATATTAAATTTTATTTTTTTTTGTATTTTTAGGTAAGGGTCTACAGGGTGTTCAGGGTCTCACTACTAGACAGGACTCATACTGATCTGCCTGTTTACAGCCTCCCAAGAGCTGGGATTATAGGCACACGCCACCACGCCAAGTCTCAACTACCATCTCAGCACACCCTGGTGGCAGGCCCAGCAGGGCAGACCCAGGGACTGAACCCCCAGCCCCTGCGCCTGCTCGCAGGAGCTTTAATCCACTGAGCTTTTGGCTGGCTAAATTTTAAATCATGTCCACAATCCCATTTTGAGACAGCAACTTAAACATGGAGTTGAGGAACCCATTTGGCTGTTCTCTTCTAAAACTTACTATTACCAAGGAATGGTCAGGCTTCATATTAGCGCAAGTTGAAAATTATTCAATAAGTACTTAATTACTATGAATTATTTTAGTATCAGAATAAAAAGTTCTTTTCAATTAAATATTTACCTCTGGTTTATAATAGCGCTGAGTATATGTTAAATCAATAATCAGTCCAAGCTCTTCATTTTGCTCTTGGATTTTGTTGAAAAGATCCAAAAGAGAAAAGCGTTCTTCTGAAGCAAGATTCCCTTCAAAATTCTGTCAGAGAAAATGAAATATAAGAAAGCAAATGTATGCTTTAAATACTTATACTATTCAGAGCATATGACACATACAATGAGACTCAAAGGTAAGTTTTCATTCTTCTGAAAGCTATATTAAAAATCTCTCTACTAGTGACTGAAGGGGGAGGAAAAAGCACTTGATATACACACAAGTAAATATATATTTGTGTCTGTTCCATCTCCTAAATGACTGCAACATCCTAATCAACGTTAATATAGGTTAAATAAGCAATAACTGTTCCTATCTCTCTAAGCTTTAGAACTTCAGTTCACAAATAAATATTTTTTGCACAACTTTAATGTATATTAAATGTCCCAGGATAGTAATTATTTTACCAACTAAGTGAAGGCTGATCTTTCTTTTGCTTAGAAATCTGCTAAGTGGTTTGCTATCATGAAAACCTCTACCACTAAATATAACTCACCTAGCTCACAGTGTGCATTTGTAGTTCTTGCAATGACAATGCAATCAACCATTTCTTTATATCTTCTAGTGTAGTCATGAAAAAACATTTACATACTGAAAACTTATTACTTTACTTAATATTATTTTATTATAAATTCTAGTTTATTCTATTCTAGGTACTGTTACACTAATTTCCTTTCTTTAAAATTACATATGGTGGTAGATTACACTCATGTATGAAGTGAATTTCAGTTCAGTATGGAGACATGAGAACATATTTGCTATAAAAACAGAAACTGGAATGTGACAGGGTTAAGAAACAATGTTTTACCGGTTAAATTTAAGTTTCTGAAAGAACACTGAACTTCTGCTTACCTTTTGCAAGGGTACTTTAAAAGCAACAAAACGAGTTCCTGGCATCCGCTGTCCAACTGGGAGATAATCTTTCCACCTAGTAGATAGGATTTTTATCAGCCACACTGTATTTTAACTTTGTCTCCTTGCATAGAATGAAGGCCCCTTGAAATCAACAGTTGCAGGACACCCAGGGTGTTCCTGTTTTGCCACTCAATTTATTCACTCCTGCCTAGTAAAAACTGATACTTTCCTTCTCATGTCCCCATCTGGGAAAGTGCTATTTTGTAACAAAATAAAACAAAAATCTGCACATTTAAAGAATATGAAAAGCTGGAAAACTCCTGTGTCACTGATAAAATCTTAACTTGGTACCAAATAATAAGATGTCATTAATACATACACATCACTGAAATGATTTAAACTCAATTCTATCACTGCATAAGGTTTTGTCTTCATGCAACTGAAACGAATTCAATCAAAAGAAAACTTCCAATTCATCTTTGAAGAGAACATCTGATTCAAAGGGACTATGAACTTCATTTAGTAGTGCAAAGAGTTAACAGTGAAAAGCAGTATTTGAGCCAACTTCTGTAGAATGAGTGAGAATTAACTACACTTAGTTTAGTATATTTTAAAATAAAAAAGGGAACAGAAGTGGCAAGAGAAGGGGCTGGAGCAGTACAGAGGATCCTAACCATGTAGATTTTTATTCTACAGGCCGTAAAAAGGAGGGTTTTTGTTGTTGTTTTGTGGTTAAGATAAGGTTTGGGAGGTTTTTTTGTTGGGTTTTTTTTTTTGTTTGTTTGTTTTTGTTTTGTTTTGAGACAGGGTCAGGCTGGCCTTGAACTCACTATGCAGACCAGGCTGGCCTCAAATTCAAAGCAATCCTCCTGTCTTAGCCTCCTGAATGCTGGCATTATACGGTATGCCAGCTCGCCAGGCTTACAATGCTTTAAATAATATCTACAAGCTATCTTCCAATTAAAATTCAACTTTTAATAATTACTTATTTAAAGGAGTTCTTGTGTGATTCACGAACTATAAGGAAGTGCAAAGTAGATACATAGGCACGACTGATTTTTAACTACAACACGTCATTCAAGATCTGCATTAGGTGCTTTATCTTGGTCTTCAACATCCAGCAGAAAAGTATAAAAACGAAGTATAAGAAGTAAAGCCATGCTGTTAGGTTGAGCTGTAGGGGACTCAGGTCAATAATTTCTGACATTGCCAGTCAAGTGGAAGACCCAATACTATTATGGATTACTGGACTCTTTTAGAATATTTTGCTGAATTAGCACACCTATAATATTAAAATGATGAATTCAACAAAAAAGGGGATATATAAATGAATGTCCATTTTGTATCTGTGTATTCAAAATGGTTAGGATAGATATATAGTTACATTCTCTTAATGAATAGAGGGATCTGTTGTAACAGTGTTTGTAAATAGGATATAATGTTTGCATCTTATACAGCAAATAACCACTAGGAAGAATGTATGCGATGTGTTCATTATTGAAACTGTCCTACCAATTTGGTTTGAAACTGTCTCATTGCTATTTGTCTCTCAATAAAATTATGGAAAAAAATAAATAATTCTAAAAAAAAGAAAAAAGAATCTTATATTTTACTGGATAAAATTACTAAACACTTTCCAGACCCTGAAGTTGTATATTTTATGGTGTTGGCTACAGCATCACAGCCACAATTACCTTTTGAAATTGTTCATTTAGTTTCTTTTTGACACATGGATTTATGCACCGTCAGGGAGAGCAACTGATTATCTTCTCGTATTTATGTGTTTCCTATATTTGAGAAAACAAAGCCTACCTAAATGGAATGTCTTATTCTCACACTCTTTGACAGTAAACTTCATTATAAGATTGGCTCCAAAGTCATAGGATTGAGAAATCTATTTTATGTTGGAAAATAAAAATCTTAATTAAAAAAAAATCTGCATTAAGGGCGGGGGAGATGGCTCAGTAGAATCAGCACTTGCCTAGCAAATGCAAGGGCCTGAGTTCAATCCCTGGTTCCGCCAAAAAAAAAAAAAGATCTACATTAGAAGGCTAAAGGAGGTGACAGATTCAAAAGTTACTGGGGAGATAAAATGGAACAGACTTTAAGTATGAGACAGCAGAAAGTCTCAGGGGGTAGAAGGGAGTTTCCAAATACAGGAGAGAAGGTTGGGGTTTGTTTTGGTTTGGTTTTTTGAGACTAGGCCTTGCCTGTAGTTCGGGCTGTCAGGCAACTCACAGCGATCCTCCTGCCTCAGCCTACCAAGAGCTGTGATTACAGGCGTGTGTCACCACACCTGTCAAGCAAACTCTTAAAAAAAACTATTTGAAGAATAAAACCACGTTTCTCAACGGACACATATGAGGGAGCTCTGTGATTCCTGGAAACACTGTTAACGAACTCTCCCAAGTAAGACTTCCGGTCGGTGGCAAGGATGCAGGGACGGGGGTCCTTTTAAACTCACTTGTATCCTCCATGGCAAAAATAATGTACCTTGGAGATGGGAGCAGTGCAGCGTTTTGGCAATTTAGGAGCGTCCCGACACAAACAGTCCTGCAGCAGGGCAGTCTTTCTGTATTTTACCCGACGTGCACTGGACACAGCTCGCTTTTTAATTACGGACTGGACGAACTCACAGAACTTCACACCGTTCCGGTCGGGGACGGCGCAGGGAGAGGCCAGGCCCGTCAACCAGGCGCCGGGGCACAGGGCGAGGCCGAGAGCTCGAGACCGGGCCGCGCCCAGACGCTACGAGGCGGAGGGCCGAGGCCTCGCACCAAGCTTCATTACCTTTCCGGGATGCGGTTTCCACCTTTCTTCTTGGCTGAAGGACGTCCAGAAAACTCGCGTCCGCGGCCCCAGCCACTGCGGACGTGATGCCATTGGCTCATGTGGCCGAAAAGCCGCCCTCCGGCTCCCAAGCAAGTCAGAGCCGTGGCTCTGGCCCTCAGTACCAAAACAGCTATTCAAAGCGCCGACGCCTCGCTACTGCGCCTGCGCCCCCGCCTGACGCGTTGGCGTCGCCACGCATACACTACGTCACGCCGTATCAGACTCAAGGTTCGCAGACAAGACCCTGGTGGCCACAGCGCCCTCAGTGGCCGGAGGACGGCAGCACTGGTTAATTAGTTCGTACGTGTACCCTTCAGAATTCAAATTCTGTACAGGGCAGGGAATAAAAAGTAAAATCCCATCGCCCAGTTCCTTGGGTGTTCTTCGACATGTTTCCAACTACTTACACTTACAGTTAGACTTTTACACAAAAGCAGTATACGATCCATTCTGTACAACATATTGATTAATATTGATTTTCCTAATAAATATATACCTGTATCTCCCTATTTTTTAACGGCAGGAGAGCCGTAAGTAGCAAAATGAAAAATACCATAATTTATATAATTATGTATTTATGGACCGGTACTCTTTCCAATTTTGTTTCAATTTTGGTTTTATTCTTGTAACAGATAACGATGCAATGTGAACATGCTAGTACATATATACAACTATAGCTCATTCTAACAAGTAGAATTACTGGAATGTAAGACACACAGAAGACACACAGACTGAGAGTTTGAAAAATACTTGTTAATTACCCATCAAAAATTGTACCAACCTACACTCCCACTGACAACCTACACTCTGACAACCTTTCACTAGCAATCTTTTATCATCTACCAGATATCATGCTAGAAGTGGAGAGCATAGATTTATTTTTGGAAAATAGAAAAAAATATATCTAAGATGATAACAGTGGTCTCAGGCCAAGATTTCTACACAGTATCATACAAAGAGAACCATACCTGTAAGAAAAGCACTAAGTACTCTACTGCTACAAGTAGAAGAGAAAAATACTGCAGGTCTAAAGACAAAATAGTGTACTACACTGTAGATTAAAACATAAATACTTGTGATAGCAATTTTTACAGTACTTACATTTTATTTTCTAACTTCTGAAAGTAACATGCCTACACTTTCAGTATTACAATGATAGAGCTGGGCAAACAGTCAGAAAAGGCAACTTTATAAATTAATAAATGAAAGTCATTTCTTTTAACATTTAGAGGTCAATATATTCCAACCAGCTTTAGATCAATATGAATTTATAATCTGGCTGGCCTGATTTGTAATGCTATCTACTTGAAACACAGAAGTAAGAAGATCATAAGTTCAGTCCCACACTAAGAGACTTAGTGAGACTCTATCTCAAACCAACAAAACCAAAAAACAGTTGATAAAAATATAACAGTGGTTTCACTGTTATCTCAATATCTCTCAGTGATAAAGTACCCTGGTTCAACCCCTAGTACCAAAAGAAAAGGGGGAGGTATTTAAAAATAGGTCAACATTGCTAATTGGGAAAAGACGTAAGTTAGTACAACATAGCTTACAAACTTTTCAAATTAGGAAGTACCTTTTTTTTTTTTTTGCTATTTGAAATTTTAATAAATCCACTCCAGTAAAAGATGGGAATAATCTGTAAAATGCTACATAGATAACTTGCCCAAGCAATAGTGTGTTTGATTGCAGGAATCTTATCTTTTAAAGTATTCCATTATGGTTTGGGTTTTTAAAATTAATTTTATTGGTATATATTAGATACACATACACAATGATAACACTCATCATAGGGTATAGGTACATGATGTATCTTGATTCCTTTTCTCTATTTACCTCCCCTCCCTTCAACCTCTCTTTCTATCCTTACTTACAAAAGCTTTGTTGCCACTTTCTCCTTCTGTTCTTTTTTCCTTTTCCATTCCTTCCTTCCACACATTTTTTCAGAAGTTGTGAGCCTACAATTTCTGATGGGCTTTGGCTAGGAGCTAGCTGGTTCCAGGATACCTCTGCAGATGTCCTAGGTTGGCTGAAGTGCTGGGCATCTGGGCTTCATCTGGTTCCAGCAGTCTAACTGAGGCAGGAGTTAAAGTCCCTGAAGAGAAGTTAAAAAAAAAAAAAAAAAAAGCAATGAGGTACAAAGGCTTTTTGAAACCCCATCAGCTTTGACATTTGAAACTTCCCATCTGAAGGGGAGAAATGGAGGCAAATCTATGAAAGAGCTATAGTCACAGAGCAAGAGGGTAGGATTCAGTCCTGTGAGAAATGGGAGGTATTATGCTGCATCCTCTCTAGTTGCGTGTATACACAGAGCAGGAAGGCAGGTGAGCTTGCAATTGAGGATGCTTTCATGGGAGATATGGGTGCGCTGCTGAACCCTATTTATCTGGGACCAAAGGCCCTACCTCACCCTGCTCCACGCTGGTCAACTTGACCCTGGCGTTGCCTTCGTGGCACCCACAATCTGTGTGCCAAGCCTTCCCTCTCCTTCAATGCTGCCTTCCTGTTCTTCTCTGAACTCAGTTATTCAGGCATCTATCCCACGCCTCTAACAACTCCCTGCACATCAGGGCTCTGTTGTCTCCTAAGCTATCTTGTTATTCTCTCCTTTAATGGTGGGGCCTCAGGACAGCCTGTTGAGGTGGGAAAAGAAGGCCATAGAACTTCCTCTATTTGTTGCTGCTACCAGTTGCCCAGCAAGGCCATTTCCTCAGGAGCAGTTCCTAGGGAATAAGGCTGGGGTGGAATGTGAAGAAAGTCAGACTGGTTCCTTTGCTTTGGAAGGAGCTTTCAGCAGCAGAAAAAAATGGTTTTACTAACCTCTCACACACATGGTTGGGCGCAGCTGGGATCAGGAGCCAGAGAAGCTGAGGGGCCAAAGAAAGGCCAGGATGCATACTCTGGCACCTAAATGTTAAAGGGGGCTTCCTGCACACTGAGGAAGGGCACCTGAAGTGGTGCAGGCTTCCCACTAGAGCCTGGGCCTCTGCTTCTAGAGTACAGATGCAGCCCTAAACCCTGGCTACTCCTTCTGCAGCCCCTGCCTCTCTCAACCTCAGCCAGGTGCCTAGTACCCTCAATTCTGCAGGATGTGTTCAAGTACTTTGCTCCCTTGACCTGCAATATTCTCCTCCTCATCACTATCTGATAGGGGTTCTTGGTGCTCTCCTGCTCTGAGTTCAAGATTAAGGCTTTGTTTTAAAAACTTCTTTGCCAGTAGGGGATATAGCTTAGAGGCATAGGCACTTGTCAGGCAAGTGCAAGGTCCGGAGTACTGAAAACAACAACAACAAAAAAACCCCTTCTTTGCCTAGCAATTTGAGGAGTTTTGTAGGGGTTAGAAGTATTAACACAAGAACCAGAGAATGATAATTCAACTGCCAAATGAATAGCTTTTGGATTTTGTCTTCATTGGAGTAAACTTGATGTTGTATATGTATACTGTATCCCAGGAATCCAGTTAATTGAATTTCTTGATTCATAATTGGAATATATACCAGTCATGAATTTTGATTCCATTCAGAGATGCCTTCTGGGATACTATCTAAACCCTCTTTCTGAGCAAACAACATGGTGAAGGCCGGGAAAAAGAGTGGCGGCTGCGGAAAGAAAGGCTTGAAAAGGAAATCCGCTGTAGCAGACCCTCCAGAGGCTGTAGCTGCTGGGGATGGAGTGACAGAAGGCAGGGTCCAGCTCCCAAAAGTGACTGCCTTCACCCAGGGCTTCAGCATTTCATAAATTAAGAATAAGCAACGGCAACACTTAATGTTTACGAGGTGGAAACAGCAGTAGTGGAAGGAAAAGTCGAATGCTAAGAAAAAACTTTAAAAAAGAGAAGAAGCTCTTGGTGATAAAACTCCACCAATACTGATACCCAAGACTACTGACAACCAATGGGTCTATGATGAAACTACATTAGACCCTAATGATGAAGAGGTTGCTTATGATGAAGCTACCAATGAGTTTGCTCCTTACTTCAACAGAGAAACTCAGGTGATCACTTACACCAAGCCCTGGCTCAGACAACTGATGATCTCTTTGCTGTCCCCGTAGTTTTGTCTTTTCTACAGTATCATCAAAGTGGAAACAAAGAGTATATGGCCTTCCAATCATGGCCAGTTAGCATACTGTTTGCGATATTTGTGCATGATGCTGCATAGTTATCAGCTCATCCCTCTTCTTTGCTGTATTAGTATCTCCCTCTGTATGTAACCAGGACTTGTATATCTAGGCACAAGCTGAAGGATATTAGGGTTGATCACAAGTTTGAACTTTCAACATAGTTTCCAGCTTTTCTTTGTTACAAAAAAGTTATGATGAAGGGGCCAGGGAGATGGTTCAGTAGAATAAGCACTTCCCTGGCAAGCATAAGGGCCTGAGTTCAATCCCCAGTTCTGCCAGAAAAAAAAAAAGTTATGATGAAGCAAGGTGTATATTTTATGTACTGTACCATGGCATAATTTATAGCTTATAAAATATACTCTTCTAAAGGAATTTTCACAAATTCATATATCCCTGTAATAGCACATCAAGATTCAGAATGCCGGCTTCACATTAAAGGTTCCCCCAGAACAATGTCTTCCATCCTGCTCTTCTGAGCTAACACTGCTTTGGTTTTAGTCACTCTAGAATAAATTTATAACTCCTAGTTTTGTAGAAATGGAGTCCTACAGTGAGATAATTTTGATTTGTTACCATTTTTCTTGCACACATTTTTAGATTCATATATAACTAGCTATAGTTCATTCATTATTAGTGATATTTAATTGTACACACTTCCACTATTTATTCATTCATGGGTTGTTGATCATTGATTGCTTCTAGTTGGTGGCTATTGCAAGTAAAGCTCACAAGGAAATGCATGTATAAGCGACAGGACAGTACTCTGGGTGGACTTGGACTAGCCCAGTTTTCTCACCATTGTCATTTGTGGCTCCCAAGAATAACTGGTGTTTCTGGAAATGCAACTTCCTCACGTAAGGAGGGACAAGTTGACAGCAGCCAGAATAGGTCCTGCTCTAGTCTTGCCTAGTCACAGATATCTTTTAATGCTCTAGCTCAGCATGTCACATGGCTGCCCTGTGCTGCTCTTTGGAGTTGCTCAGCCACCTGAGGTGCTCTGTATCTGTGCATCTGCAGAAGAGATTCCATGCCTCCGGGCAGCTTTCCTGAGCCTTAGGAGGCCAGCTCACAGTGAATCTCAGGCTTGGATGTACCTCCCTGTCCATCTCTACTTGTACATGTGCGTGGTCTGTCCTACTGGATTCAGACAAGTTGCCTATGAATGCAAAGGGAACTTGCTTCATGTGTTCATTTCTCCTGGGTGAACACTGAGGAGTGAAACTGGTGGGTGTGCTAAGTATACACTTAACATTTTCAAAGAAACTAGAACTTGTCCAAAGTGGCTATACCACTTTACACTCAGAACAGTAAGCAAAGCAAATGCTTCTTGTTTAATGACCATGCCCTATTCCTGGGACTGAGTCATGAAATGAATTGGTCACTAAATGAGGAACTACATACAGGATGTGTATTACAATATTCAGAAGAAATGGTCAAGGGAAACTCCAACTTGATGACTTTGCTTTTCTAGCATAACTTTTACATGTAGTAATCAAATGTATAATAGAACTTAACAGTAGTGTATGATAGTACAACTGTAGCAGAAAATACCATCCCCTCGGCCCGTATGCTTCAGTTCATTGTTACCCAGGTAAAAGTTCTGGTTATAGATCCTGTTACTTCTGTTTCTTAGAAACAGCTGGTCAGGGATGGGGAGATAGTTCAAGGGCATAAATGTCTGCCTCTGTAATTTCATTTTTTTTTCTCCTGTATTTTAGGGAAGGGTCTACAGGGTCTTCAAGGTCTCACTACTAGATCAGACTCACAGTGATTCTCCTGTTCACAGCCTCCCAAGTTCTGGGATTACAGGGGCATGCCACCACACCCAGTCTCAATTGCCATCTCAGAGTGCCTCAGGGGCAGGGCCAGCACAGTAGGTTTGGGCATCGAACCCCAGGTCCCTGCACCTGCTTGCAGTCACTTTAATCTGCTGAGCTATTTAGCCAGCCCTGTGCCTCAGTAATTTCTGCTTGCTAATTCCATATAAGGTCTAGACTGCAAGAGATCAAGGCCTGATATTTTGGGAATGATCTCTGTCAGTGCCTGTTGATGTAAATAAATCTGCCTCCAAATCATGGGTACCATTTCAGTGTTTCTTTTCTTTCTTTCTTTCTTTCTTTCTTTTTTTTTTTCTTTTTTTGGCTGAACTGGGGATTGAACTCAGGTCCTTGTGCTTGCCTGGGATACACTTATTCCACTGAGCCATCTCTCCGGCCCACTTACTACAGCACAACCAGCAAAAATTACAGAATGTACAAACAAGTTGTGCTGTGCAATAAAAAGACAGTGAAGGTCTATAAATAAGATGTAGAGAACTACACAAAAAAGAGTTTGGTCTTAGTTCATGTGGCACATTGTACTGTGCCTTAATTCTAAATCCAAAAAGTCATTAAACAAGTGAGTGGTTAAGCATGCCATATCTCTATCTATCTTTTTAGATATGTCATCTCTTCTCAATTAGAGTTTTTCACTTTTTTTGTTTTGAGGCAAGGTCTCATAATGCAATTCAGGCTGACCTGGAATCTTATAGGTCTTCCTGTCTCAGCCTCCTGGCTGCTGGGATTATAGGTATGTGCCACCAAGTCTGGTTCTAGACTGTTCTTCTTATTGTGTTTAAGGGCTTCTTCTGTGTATTTGTTCATTTATTGCAGTCCCTGAGACTAAATATAAGGCCTAACCAAGAGCTACATTTCCAGGGCTTATGTTTTTTCTCTTTCAGAAGGTTTCACTAAATTGCTTGAGTTTGCCCTAAGCTTCAGATCATTTTGCATATCTTCCCAATAGTTCAGATTGTTGCAGGCAGCTAAATTAGATACAAATATTATAGGCAGTCAGACAGGACCAGGACCTCGAGGAGAAAAGATAGAAGACAAGGTGACTTTGCATCTTGGAAGAGACAGACACTCCCTATGGGCCAGACCTAAAGACAAAAGAGGAAATACAGCTACATACTTTCCTAGGGATGGGCATCAGGGATTGATATTCTAACAGGTATCAATCACCTTGAAAGAGCCCAAATGAGTCACTAACCAAACCCCCACAGGAAGAGACCCTGTCCCATATTAATGCCTGCTTGCTACTGACTCACTTCCACGTTTGGTACTGGATTTAATCAATTTAACCTGAGCAATGGTGCTTGTAATCTCATTGGTTGACCATAGTTTTGTCCTACCTCATGTCCACCTAAATGAATTCCCACGTTCAGCACCTTAGACCCGCTTCACCCAAAGGTTTTACTCTATAAAGTTCCCTGCAAGAAACAGTTCCTGGGGACCACCTGCTCAGGGCCCCCCTCCTGTCCCTCTCTCGGACAGGAGCTTTCTTTCCCCAAATACATAGATTCTGCTCATAATCTCCGTTTGTTCCTAAAATTCATTCTTCTGGTTTAGAGAACATGAACTCGCCCCAGGTACCTTTCAGATTGGGAGGTCATTTTTCCCCATATCAAGATCACAGCCCCCACACACTCAAAATTATAATTTTCCTGTAATTTGGAAACTAGTCTCTTCTCAGAATAAATTTAAAAGGGAAATGTAGGCTGGAGAAATAGATCAGTGACATAGCACTTACCTAGCATGCATAAGGTCCAAGATTCTATCTGGTATACTCAAAAAGAAGACAAGCATGGAAAAGAGGCAGGCGTGGTGGAAATACACACAGTATATCTCTATTAAAATCACACAGTTATCTGTCTCAGAACTCTTTTTTTCCTGGAGGTCTGTGCCCTCCCCCTCTCCCCCATATAACCAGTTTGCTTTCCAACCTTTCACAGTCATTGTTTCAAATGGCCCTTTTCATAAATATGTTTCTGACCCATCCTATGTATGGGTATTCCAATGGGTAGTTCTACTTGCAGCCTGGCATTCCTTCTCTTTTCTCTATTTTCCTCCATAGCACATATCCTCCTCAAAAACCTAATTTGTCTTTCTCTGCAAAGAAAAGTCCTGTACCGATCAAGATGAATCTCCCATAATTAAAATGGAAATTAATCTATAGCCTTTGTACCCCCCTTTGGAGGTTGTACAAAGATTACACATCAAACTTTGGGTCCTATTCAAGATAAAAAGGCTCACCTCATCCATGTACTGTTACCATGGGTCTTAAATTTCTTAAATCACTAAGCGGCTTTCTAAATGATTTCTCTCCAGAATTACTCTCAGAGCATTAAGCAAACTGAGTTCCACTGCCCTGGGATGAACTGAATCTCAAGCAGTGGGGACAGCTACTGAGACCTCATGTTGTCACTAAGTACAGGAAGAAAGGAGGCAGTTCCCAGGAGGCCTAAGGCGGTTTAAGTGCAAAGGCGGAACTCACAATCTGGCAGGTCTGCTTCCGCCCGGGGTCTTATCTGAGACCCTTAGGACCCCTGCTGACAGGACTTGGCCGCAGGGGGAAGAGTCTGCAGGACGGACCAATTGGGCCAAGACTTCCAAGACCCCGGAAGGTCTTGTGCAGAGCAAGGAAACTGGTTAGGAGAGGGCGGAGATTGGGCGCCACACGCCAAAACTGAGGGATTTGTTTCCGTGTTTCTGCAAAGGACCGGGACCAAAGGGTGGGTTCTGTCCCGGAGGTTCCAGCGCGCTGGGAGGGGAATTCCAACCCCGGGCAGCTTGGGTAGTTTCATGTCACGTGGTTCCTCCGCACAGTCCTCTCTTAGCTACCCAGGCCAGCCCCTGGGAGCCCAGCATGAAACTGTGATAAGGTGAGCCTCTCCCCGCTGGAAGGAAAGCTCAGTGAGGAGGCCGAGAGCGCATAAGCTGCCCAGCCAGGGCCGTGGCTCTCCTCTGAGTTCCCCACTGCGGGGGGCTGAGCAGGTGAATCTCTTGGGCCCAGGGGTTCGAGGCCAGCGTGGGAAGAACAGCGAGACCTGCCTTTTAAAACCATCAGGGATGGGTGAAAGATAGAAGCTGTGCTCAGTACTCAGAAGGAGCTCGTATAATAGAGACTTGGGCCCCAGGCTCCTGGTGCTACAACACATAGACCCTGAGGGAGGGAGAGAGAGATGGAGGAAGAAAAGTAGGACGGAGGGAAGGAAGGAAGTGAGGGAGAGAGGAAGAAAGGAGTTGGGATAAGAGTTGAAGGAAGATGAGGAATGACTTGTTCAAGAGCTTGGTGATTTGATCCCGAGAAAGGGCCATTGCAGCAGTATCAGAAAAGGTAAGGATGGCCCAGATCACAAAATGTGGGACAAGTGATGTAAAGTTAGGGCTCAAGGATAGGTCACCAGAATGGCAACATCTGAATTACCCTGTGAAAGGAGCTCAGCCCCTATCAGAGCACAGGTTCAGAGAGGTTAAGTGACTTGCAAGTGCTGGCAGGTCACTGTCCACACTGTAGCTAAAGGAATGAATGAAGGAGAGGAAAAGGAATAGGAGTTGGGGGTAGGGTTTGGCTTGAATGTGGGGAGCCATCCAGGATCCATGTGTCTTGGCCCAGGTCTTTGCCAAGTTTTCAGCAGGGATAATCATTGCTAGGAAGAACCAAGCTTCTGAGTCATAGGACGTGAAGTTTGGCCTGTGGTAAGAGATCCCAGGGTGAATGGTGGAGTCTCCAAGCTCCTAGGACATGGATGCAGGGGACTTGGGAAGACTCCAGTGAAAGCTGAATGTCTGAGGAGAGATGCTGTGGACTAAGAGAACAGGACAAGCAGTGGCAGGCTTCTTCAGAAGGTAGGAAGCCTACACACTTTGGAGATCCTGCAGGTTAATTCCCCAGGATTCCCTAGTCTCACAGTGTAGCTCCATGAACCTTTACTTTTATTAATCTTCCAGGCACCAGTCAATGAGGGGACACCCAGATCTTTGCATTCAAGCTGTGGCAGGGCCTAGTCAGTTTATGTTGGATGAGACTTGGAGGCTGAGAGCTGAAATTGCCCTGAACCCTACGGCTCTGTGGTGCCAGGTGAAAGGCATTAGTACAGGTTCCAGAGTTTAAGGGGAGGCTGGAGTTCCCAACCTTTTGGGACCTTTTTGGATTTGGCTCTTTTGTCTCCTCAGCAGTCTAAATATTTGCAGTTGGGATGTGGGAACACAGTTTCTACAATACAAAAACGTTGGGAACAACCAAGGAGCTGGGATCTGGCTGTCACAGGTTCCTTTTCAACATACCAAAACATTCTGAAAGCATGTAATTGGGCAGTGAGTGTTAAAGGGCAGGTACTGTACACCAGAGTTTCCTATATCTTATTCTCTTCATCCTCACACAACCATAGAAGATGAGTGTTATTTTCCTTGCTCTCCAGATGAAGGCACAGGTTCAGAGAGGTTAAAACACTTGCCCAAGTTAACCCACCCCAAAAGGAGAGAAACCAGAGTTTCAGGAGTCTCTACAATGATTTCCACAGAAAGAAGAGTTTCAGTAAGGTGCTTTTGTCCCTGACAATCCCAGTAATGCTTGCCTGCTTTGTTTTGGATGACACAGAAAAATTCACGTGTCAAACAGGGTCAGGCTCTTGGAAGGCTGGGAGCTATGTGGGTGCTTAGATGGACTCTTGTCTCCAAGGCATTGAGACATCAGATGTTTAAATGTCCCCATAGCTCCTTATCATTTCAATAAATACCAAAAGGGTGGCCTCCAGACCATCCTGGACTTGTTCTCCTGGGGCATGGTAGAGTGTATCTTTGCCCCTTTCCACTACACAGTGATGCTTCCTATAACATCCTCCTTGTACTTGAGGTCCCCTTGTCTTGATCCTGACTTCAGGTTCTTGTGTTCAGTGTCACCTTCTTTGTTGTTCTGTGGCTTATTATCATATAACCCTGGAAGCAGTATGTGGTCACACATTTGTACATTGACCTGGCTGATATTGCCAGATCACTTCTGTGCATGTGGCTGTAACTTAGTGATGGCTGAAATTAGATGAGAGGTGGTGAGCACTGTGTATGCTGGGCCAGTGAAGAATCTTCCCCTGCAGAAGAAGCAATTGTTGAAGTTTTACCTCTGGTTGGCCATGAATCAAGGGTGAGTGAGGCTAGCAAAACCTCACTGGTCAGAGTTGTCCTCCAGTTTGCCAGGGATCAGGGCTACAGTGAAGTGCTTGACACCAGCATGGTGCCAAAAAGTGATGTGGCCCTTTATGTAGACATGGTCTTCTGGAAGATGGGCCATTTCTTCACTTCTAGGATCTCAAATCTAGTGGCTATTCACTTTACACACCACTTCTCTTCTGCTTAGGAAGTAGGCCTTTGATCTATTACTTTTTCAGTCAGAATCCAGTTGCCTCTTCTAAAATCTGTCTCTGCCTATTGTCTGTCCAATAATAAGCTCAAGCAGAGAGGCATAGAGTTGGGGGATCAGAATATTAGCACTCCAGGTATTATTATCTTTGCAAATCAGTTAATATGGAGTTGGGTTGGGCCATCAAGATAGCTCAGCAGTCTAAACACCTGCTTAGGCAAGTGCAGGGACTGCACTTCAGTCCCCTGGCACCAAATGCTGCACCAGCCCCACCCCAGGGGTGGGCTGAGCTGGCCACAAAAACAATTGGATTGACACCTCTTGTTGCTTACCAGCATCAGTGTCCCAACAACTCACCAGAACAACCGTGTTCTGGGCTATAGTCCCAGGAGTTACCCCTTAGCTCCAAGATGTACTGTTGTTGCCTCCACCAAAGTAGCAACATCCTAAGTCTCCCAGTGGTGCTCTTTCAGTATTCAGATACCCATTTATTTGGGATCAAAGAGGAGATCTCCTCTTTGGGCTGTCAGTATTCTGGGACTACCAGGGTAGTTCTCTGAGGGCTATGACAATGGCTCTGATATCTGATGTCTTTTGTATGAAACAAGAGCCTGACAGAGACTCAGCCCTATATGCTGAGTAAAGATATTCTGACTCAAAATCTCATGCTCTTGTAGAAAGGCCCTTAGAGGTAGAGATGCAGTGGTGAAGTGCAAGGAGAAAGAATTCTGACTGGAGCTAGAGTTATAGGGGCCACTGGACCAAATGGGTAAACAGAGACAGAGCACAAAGGCAATACATAAAACTCTTGCCCTTCAGCATGACTTGGGATTCCAACTGGTGATATCGCACAGAATCATTAGCAGAATTCTGTACCATGGAGCTCTCGGCTTTTTTCTTTTTGAGATAGGTCTTGTCTTGCTATGCAGTCAGACAGTTCCTGAGCTCACTTTGTAGGCCAGGCTGTACTTGAACTTGCAGTGATATTCCTGTCAGCTTAAGTGATGGAATTACCAGCATGCACCACCACACTCAGCTTTCTCCTCTCTCCTTTATATTTCCAGTTCAACTTCTAGATGAATATTCAAGGCTCTATAGACAGTAATAATATGACCCAAGAGCAATGTTACCGGTATACTCACCGCCCAGAGTGGATACGAACATCACCCTTGAGCTGTGATCACATGCCAAAGAGCCTAAAAGCTCAGCAGCCTCCACCACAGGCTCTGAGTGCCAGCTGCCAGATTCCAGCATCTGCTTCTGGCTAAGATTGCTGGATGCAGTATACAGGTAGCCCTCACCTTTCCATTTCTGGCCTCCTCCCCGTGTCCTCCAAGAAGCTCTTGTCATGGTCTTGGATCCCATTGTCCTGCTCCTCCACCCTCAGTCATTCTGCCTCCTGCCTTTTCTGCCTCCAAGTACACCTTGAGATTCGGGTCTCACCCTCAATTACCTTCCTTTCATTCAGTGCATTGCCTTGACTCTTAGCCTCTGCTGACCAGTTGCTCTGTTGGGAACACCGACCTACATTCCTCCTTCATGCCTTGCACACCGTCAGTGCAGGTAACTAGAGAAACAATGCCAAGGAGAAAATTAGAAATAAGTGTCCCCCCCCAAGGGTGGGCTGAGATTTGAAAATTTTTGTAGGCTCAATTTAGTTCATATTAGACTTTCTTGTCCAGCTGCTCTTATACACAAGCAGCATGATGCCATCTGCAGGTCCCTGTCCAGCTCAGATGCTGTACTCACCTCGGCGGAATCTGCAGACATTCCTGCCTCTCTGATACATTCTCCACATACAGACCAAGTGATGACACAACCAAAGGGTAACGCCCTATGTGTGGGATTGCCCATGGCACTAACTAATAGGCTTGTATCCTGGAGGGTATGAAAAGGGAAAATAGAAGCAAGTGTCACCTTTAGCTTCTTTGGAAGAGCCCCAGTCTTCATTACCTTTGGACGTCCGTCACCCTGCTTCCAGACAGACTTCAGCCTTGCAATGCAGACTGTCAGCATCCTGATGCAGACTCAAAGGGGAATCTGCAGAGAACTCCAGGCCTACACCCTTTAACTGTCTCCTCCACTCTTCAGCACACAGGTGGCTCTTTTGCAGGCAGCCATTGTGAGCCTATCATGTAAGTCCTTTAAGTATCACTTGCGCACACACACACACACACACACACACACACAGAGGATACACACTAATACTAAATTTGTTCCTCAGGTGAACCCTAGTGATCAGCTTATGTGGGCAGATGTAAAATCATTTGTGGAAGGCAGACATCCCTTCCATGGAGGATTCCACAGAGAGTGATTTACCCTTGTGTTTACCTTTGTCAGTTTTAGGCACATGCTCAGCTGAACTGTGTAAAAACATGACCCTGGTTCTGAGCCACAAACATGGCCCCAAACACCTGCCCAATATGCTGGTGCCTGCAAAGGACACCTACAAGACCATTGGTGATCCACACAGCTGCTGAGGAAGTGAATGGAAGGAAGGGATAGGTGAGTGATGCACCCTCCAGCATTATCCATTGTCTTTGGAACAGGTAAAGCTGTGGCAGGGAGAGGCACAGACTTGACAGACATTGTATTTGAGGAAGGAACCCGGACTCTGCCTTTTGCTGAACAAGCCCAACGTGATAGGCACAGTCACAAGGCTCCTATCAGAAGTGGGTAGGGGACCAGAGTGGACCTCAGATGGGGCCCAGTGTGCTGAGGAGAGGGACTGTGTCCTAAAGAAAACAGGAGGAAGGTCACATCCTCCCAGGAGAGTGAGGACCTGTGGCCCCAGGAGAGTGAGGACCTGTGACCCTACTTTCCTCTCCAAGTTACTTCTGCAAAGATCACAAAGGTATGTGGACTTGGACACCCTTCTTAGGCACAACCCAACTCATTGACCTTTGGTTCATGATTATCTTACGTATACCAGAGCCCCACCAATGAGGTGCACCCAGGTATCCTTCCAAGAGCAGGTCTTAAACAGTGTCTTCTGAATGCTAGTTGGAGGTGGAGGGCTTGGGCCACTGTCTACACTGTCAGCTTGGTTGTAGAGCAGGTAAGTGGACAGGGCTGCAAGGTCAGGGCTCTCAGTATGGGCCGGAAGTGACAACATTTTGGAGGATCTAAGGCCAGGCCATATTGGAATTTGGTCTTTTTGCCTTTTTAGCAGCCCACTCCTTTACAGTCAGGAGCAAGATCTGTTATTTTGTTTGGGGGATACAAGATTTCTACAGTCAATGGAACCTGGGGTGGAAACAAAGGTCTGAAGATATGAGGTCTGGTTGCTACAGGTGCCATCCAAGTACACACAACAAACTCAGAGAAATGGTGATAGAGTAATGAGGGTGGAGAGAGAAGATACTACAGATGCCAGTGTTTCATATATCTTATTGGGTTAAATTCTTAAGATAGTAATATACTGTTTTGTATTTCAGATAAAGATACACAGGCTCAGAGATGTTAAGCTATGTGCTGAAGGTCATACAGCTCAAAAGCAAAGAAAATGGTTATCTACTCAGGTGTTTTGATGCTCACCTCAGAGCAGGGGATTTTTGCTTCCTCACCACTAAGGAGAGCAAAACAGCCTTGGACATGGTCGCCCTTGTTCTGGGGAGACATAGTCCATGGCAGGGCGACTCACATGGCTTTTTCCTCTCTATTCCAGGGCTGTTCAGAAGGTGTGCTATCAGGTCTAGCTGTCACTTGTGGACATTGATATTTTAGACCCATAAGTGTCCCTATGGCTCCTTATCACATCCGCAAATACCAGGAGAGTGACCGAATACCAGTCGTGGACTTGTTCTACAAGGGCATGGTGGAGCACATCCCTACCACATTCCGCCACACCTTGATGCTGCCCCGAACCCTCGTGTTCTTAGCTGGGGTGCCACTCTGCATTCTCCTGGTCTCTGGGTCCTGGCTGCTGGCTTTCCTGTCCAGCTTCACCCTCCTGGTTTTCCTAAGGCTCCTTGTTGGATACCCCTGGAAGCAGTATGTGCTCACATGTTTGCGCACTGACATGGCCGACATCACCAAAACCTACCTGAGTGCATCTGACTCCTGTTTCTGGGTTGCTGAGTCTGGGGGGCAGGTGGTGGGCACTGTGTGTGCTTTGCCTGTGGAGAATCCACCACCAGGGAAGAAGCAGTTGCAGCTGTTTCACCTTTCAGTGGCCATGGAGCACCGAGGAGAGGGGATAGCGAAAGCCCTGGTCAGGACTGTCCTCCAGTTTGCCCGCGACCAGGGCTATGGTGAAGTTGTGCTTGGCACCAGCATGGTGCAGCAAAGTGCCCTGGCCCTCTACCTACGCATGGGCTTCCAGGAGACCCGCCAGTCCTACTTTAACATTAGCATGAGGCTTGTGGCTAATCCTATATTCCATTTAACATACCAGCTCCCAACAGCTGGGCATGGTGGTACACATTTGTGATCTCTGAATCAGTCGGGGTGGAATTGCTGGGAGTTCAAGCGCAGCCTGGAAGGTCAGTCAGGATCTGAAGTGTTTAACTGTACCAACAAGTCAATCCTACATTTAAGCAGATAAACAATATAACCTCATTGCTTGGCACATCTGATTCTCATCTTTGTCAAAGTCCAGTGGATAGCTATGTTCCATTGTGTCTCTGGTTTATCTTTTCTTTATGTAACAGCACACTAATGTTGCATTAAAAACATCTGTGAAAAAAAAATCTGTGAAAAGATAGTTTATTGATGATCCTGTGTAGTGGAGAGTGTCTGCTGGACTGAGCTGAGATGAGCTTCTCTGCATCTCAGGAGCTGTGCAAATGTCCTGGGTTTGCTGGACTAGCATGAGCAGTGGGCTTCCTCTGCTTGTGCAGGGCAGCTCAGTCAGGGTCCCGGGCACTGTAATAGAGCCAAGTACAATTAGAAGGGAGTAAAGGCTTTTCCAGGTGCCTGCAGTTGTTACATCATTCTCCCAGCCCCATGGGGAGAATGAAGCCAGCTATATGAAGAAGCTGAACCGTTTCAGAGCAAAAAGACAGAATGTGGCTCTGTGATTCAAATTGTGTAAGTTACAGTACAGGCCTGTAGAGGGCCAGCATGTCTCAGGGGAGATATGGCAAGGAGTGTTCCTGGCTGTTCAGTAAGCCAATATAGAATCAGTGAGCATAACATACCTACCAGCTCTGGGATACACTGATTCCTCTGTCACCTAATGTTCATGAATCCCCAAGTGAGTAAGTGCCTCAGGCTTAACTATATCATCCTTGAAACCCTCAATACAAGGCTGAGTTGGGGCCTGAGTCTGTTCTGATATTTGCAGGACTGTTCATTTCTAAATACTTCTTTCCAACACCAGCATGCCCATGAAGACTTGGCATTTGTCACTGGGTCCCCCAAACACAGATTCCCTCCCACCATTGTTCATGTGATGTGTCAGTTGCCTCTGATCACCTTTACCAGTTTGTTCTTATTAGGGCTTGAGAGCCCCTCTGTGATGGGAAGAATCTGTGGAGTCTCCCAGACCTCCTCTTTTAGTAAAGCTCTTGTCTCCAGGAACAGTTCTACATGAGCATGTGTTTGGTTTGGGATATGAGAGAGAAGGACGGGATGGTTCATGTGCTTTGCAGCATTCATTCAATCAAATTCGTTCAAAAGAAATTGTTTTGCTCAATCCACACTGAGGTGATGAGATCCTTCTGGGGCTTCTGGGGTCAGAGACCAGATGCTCTGGGCATCCATAAAGGATGAGAATGGAAATGCTGTTACAGTGATATAGTGATAGAATAGCCTGGGAACTGGGAAGGCTAGCCAAGGCTCCAGTTCCTAACTGTTGGATGCTCTGTCCATGGATGCATCCTCTATTCCTGGGATCCTAGCTTCTGCTTGACAGCCTTTTTCAGCTTCCGGACTCCCACCTCAGCTGCTCTACAGCCCTCATTCTGCAGGCTCATAGCATGCTGTTCTCTTGGCCTAGAATATTTAGCCAGTCTACCCCTTCCCACATTTTTGGTGTGTTCAGCAACTGCAAGTTTCGCCTGGAAGGGAGAACCATTTGGAAAGATATCATGGAAGAAGGTTATGTACTTGATTGTGCTTTCAGTCTGATCATCATTGGGATTTGGGCCTTTTTTGCTCCGGATGTCTTCAGTGCAGGTTTGGCTGGCTTGAGTTGTGGGGATCGAACCACAGCAACCTGAGCCTGACTGCTTTGTTGAAGCATCCACTTAAAGAACTGAGCTAAGGGGTAGGCCCCCGTGATTTGGGCCTTTGACCTGCTCAGTGTGTCTGTACACTTCCTATCACATTGCCAGAAAGCTTCATACAAGCAAGATTGAAAACTAAAAAAAAGATTGAAAACTAGACTTATTGTGGCCCCAAGAATAATATTGGTAACAAAGTGTTCATCCTGGACAGATTCCTATTGCAGGCAATTCCGAGGGATGTTACTAGAAGGAGGTTGGAAGGGGTGTCCTGACTTGGTCCAGGCTCCCAGGTCTGTTCATCAACCACAGCTGGGGAGGGAGGGCCCTGCCACTCTGAGTGGTTCTTCCCCTCCTCCTCTTGGACCTGAGGCACAGTCTGATGATGAAGCTTCCAAGTCTTCCTGAAAGTCAGAGAAGGAGCTCACAACTGTCTGAGATTTGAAGAAGTGCATGATGTGGATCTCAGAAGTGGTCCAAAGGTCAAGGGGCACTTTATAAAGTGACCCTCTACTGAAAGGGAAGAAATTATACCATGAAATCAGAGACATCCTGAGCAGTGTGCACTGAGGCCACGGCAGTACTGAAACAGTGTCTTTGGCTCTTGCTGTGAATCATGCTGTAGATTGTCCTCCATGATTGAAGAGCCTGTGTGTGTACATGTGTGTATATGCATGTGCATGTTCATTCTGTAAAAAATGTGCATGTGTATAAAACGAGATTCCATGGGAGAGCATACAGACGACTAGGAAGACCACTGTCACAGATTGGAGGTAATAGTGTTCTGGACAATTAACCCCATTTTATCCTACGTATATACATTCATGTTAAGCAAATCTTGCCTTCCTTGAAGAAACCCAGGCCCTTAGTACATCCCACACATCATTTCCAAATCATATCACCTTCTGAGGCCCAGTTCCCAGGTCTACTTTCTAGGGCACCAACAGCACAGGGTCATATCCTGAGAAGCAGCCAGGCAATCCTGGCCAGGCTTCCAGAAGTCAGGTGCAGTGGAGGTGGGTGCATGTGGCACTCAAGAAAGGAACTGACATGGTCACATGAAAATCAGAAATGCAACTGCTCAAAATTGCTCCTTCCATATGGTATGGGGTCCCAGGAAGTCTCTAAGATCTGCTAGTGTTGCTCTAGATGCCAGAAAGCAGCAGAATGACAGACTATTCTAACATGTTTTCTGTTTCAAAAGCCCCAAAGAAGTCTTCTGGAAATAGAATCAGAGACAAATCCTACTCCCACCCCAATCGCAAAAGCTTCTCTGCAGATGTTATGAGAAAGAAACTACTTTTGTCACTGAAGAAGCATAAACCCAAGAGTGATGTTCATCACAGTGTATTTGAAGTCACAACCACAGGAAGGAACATCGCCCTTGAACACAGCCAGGGCACACAGCCATGCCACACTCTCCTGACGAGCAATGAGCAGTCCTGGAGTAGAGGAGTCACCTGCAGCACCTAAAGTCACTCAAAGCACCTGTCCTTCTGTGCTTACCAAGGGCCTTCAGGCAAAGGGAGGAAAGGTGTCCCATCTGTAAGGGGCCAAAGCTGCCCCTCAGAGCCCAGGTTAGGCACCTCCCTTCCCAGAGAAAGGAGGCATGGTTTCATTTCCAAGAGGCTGCCAAGTCCTTAGACATTTCTGGGTGTAGAGCCCATTTGTGAACATGGCAAAGGATGAAGGGGAAGAATTTACAATGGCATGCTAGGGCTGGCCAAATAGCTCACTGCGTTAAAGCACCTGCAAGCAGGCGAAGGGGCCAGGGGTTTGATCCCCAGGCCTGCTATGCTGGCCCTGCCCCCAGGGCGTGCTGAGTCAGCAATTGAGACAGCTTGGTGGTGCATTCCTGCAATCCCAGCTTTTGGGAGGCTGTAAACAGGTAGATCACTATGAATCCAATCTAGTAGTAAGACCTTGAACACCTTGTAGTCCCTCCCCTAAAAAGTACCAAAAACCCCAAAGAAACAGTGTCATGTTAGCTAAGGAGAACACTCTGAGAAAAGGACAGAGAATACATTTTCTTAAAGGTTGATATAAAAAGTCAGGTATCTCCTTTATTTTTATTTTTATTTTTATTTTCTTCTATGTACTATTACGACTTCTGTTCAGATGTGTCCCCAAAGCC